CCCAGGCTCAGCACCCCCAGGCTCAGCACCCCTAGGCACAGCACCCCCAGGCTCGGCAACTCCAGGCTCAGCACCCCCAGGCACAGCACCCCTAGGCACAGCACCCCCAGGCACAACACCCCCAGGCTCGGCACCTCCAGGCTCAGCACCCCCAGGCACAGCACCCCCAGGCTCAGCACCCCCAGGCCCAGCACCCCCAGACTCCGCACCCCCAGGCTCAGCTCCCGCAGCAGCACCAGAGTCACCAGTGACCTCGACAGGCTCGACCGCGTCTACCTGGGACACACCTGAAGGGGCAGGACCCTGAGGGGGGAGGGGGACTACCGGGGGGGGACCTGGTACCAAGAAGAACGGGGGTGGGGGGAGGGACGGAGTGCGGTAGGGGAAGAGGCGGTAGTAGGGTACCGACTCGTCGAGCGTGACGTCCTGGGAGGACAGAACACGTCGAGAGGTGGGGTGGTAAAACTGCCACCCAGGGGCGTCGGGGGGGAACCCCAGGAAGACGCAGGGAGAAGCACGAGGGGACAGCTTGTCCGCAGACAGGTCGCGAACAAACGCCCGAGATCCCCAGACCCGGAACGCCGACGCATCGCCAACCTTCCCCGTCCACAGCAGGGCTGGGGAGGTCTCCGGTCGAGAGACCCTGGGGTGGAGGTTGATCTGGTGCGCAGCGTACCTGACCGCAAACGGCCACAGAAAATGGGGAGCAGCCGCATGCATCATGGACGTACGAGCGACGTCCATGACCATGCCAATGCGGCGCTCAGCAATCCCATTCTGCTGTGGTGAGTCCGGAAGCGTGAAGGTCTGACGGATGCCTCGCGCACGACAGTAGGCACTCAGGAGGCCAGAGGAGAACTCTCCGCCTCTGTCCGAGTGCAGACGCAAAACAGGGAAGTCAGAGCCAAAGCTCCTCCGAAGCTGGAGACGAGCTGCGCGGATCCAGTCGATCAACACCTCAGTGACCTCACCCTTGCTGCGCAAGGGGAAGACTGTGGTGTAACGCGAGTAGTCGTCAACCACCAGCAGGAAGTAGCGCTCCTGACCCTGTCCACGGACGCGGGCTGGGCCCCACACGTCCATGTGAAGCGTCTGCAACGGGGCCTCTGTCGGAGGAAACTGGGAGGAGTGAGGGGCAGCACGCTGGCGCCCCTCAACACAGGGGACACAGGCAGGGCCAGGGCCCGGAGGAAGGGGAGGGAGAGACCGGGGAAGACCAGACACAAGGACTCGCGAGGCCATGCCTCTGAGCCGAAGCAGAGAGGGGTGGCCAAGGCGGTGGTGCCAGAGGAGGGTCTCGTGAGACAGACGACGACACGAGCAGGGGGCAGACTCAGGACCAGACCTGGACGCTGCAGCAAACACCTGACCAGACGAAGGGACCCTACCAGACGTAGCACCTGGAGGAGAAGCAGTGGTCAGTGTGTACAGGCTCGACCCTGGCCGACGTGTAAACGTAGCCAGGTGGCGACCTGTATCCGCCTCCGTGCAGTGGGTCACCCGCTGACGAGCAGGGGTGAACTGGTGGACACCTGCATCCTGGAGGTCAGCACCACTCACCAAGTTCGTCGAGAACGAGGGGAGGTAGAGACCAGTCAGGGTGCCAGAGGGGGCCGCCGGACACGGGAGGACAGTGGAGAAGCGAGACAGGACAGGCCTCCCAGAGGGGTCAGCCAGGGACACCGCAACCGGCCGACTCAGCGGCGTGAGAGTGGTGCGGTCCCTAAAGAAGGAGCGAGACGCTCCAGAGTCAAGGGTGAAGGTGTGAGAGGCCGAAGCCGACACAGTACCTGAGAGGGCAGACTCACCAGCACCTGAGAGCACAGACGCACTGGCACCTAGAGCAGCAGCTTCACTAGTACCTGACGCGGCAGTACCAATACCCGGGTCGGGCGGGAAACACCGGTAACAGTCATCCTCATCACTACCAGTCGCAGCATACATAGCAGAGAGAATAGCATCAAAATCAAGATCATAAATAGCTACACCAGCCCTAGACAGCTCTCCCCAGCGGGGGATCTCAGCGGCCTCCGGAAACTGCTGACGCCAGGCGTCGGTCAGGCGGCCAAAGCAGCGGCGGGCTGTGTGGGCGCCTCCACACCTCTCCCCTGCACGGTCACCGGTGCGAAGAACGTAGGGGCAGGGACCAAGCGCACCACCACGCTGACGCTGCAAGTACCACTCACGGAGCTGCTGAGGGGCGGGGACGGTGCGAGAGCGCTGCTGCTGTGGCTGCTGCTGCGGCTGCTGCTGCTGCTGCTGCTGCTGGCGCTGACCACCCCCAGAGCTGCTCCGCTGGGACGAGCCACTCCGACCCCCGCCTCCACCGCCACCCCCGCCTCCACCGCCACCCCCGTCTCCACCGCCACCTCCCCCACCAGGACCGTCGCTCCCACCGCTCCCACCGCCTCCTCCGCTACCACCTCCGCCGCCACCTCCGCCTCCACCGCCGCCACCAGTACCTCCACTCCCGCCACCACCCCCACCGCCACCCCCACTCCCCCCGCCACCCCCACCGCCTCCTCCACCGCCCCCTCTAGCTCCACCCGCTCCCTTGCCCCCCTTGCCCTTGCCAGAGCGGCGTCTGCCGCTGGGGGCAGACGCCGCGCCGACCGACTCAAAACCAGTGAGGTCGGCCGCAGCGGCAGAGGCGACAGAGGGCAGCAGGGGGGAAGGACCACACCCCTCAAAGATGGGGGTGCGAGGGTCACCCCGAGAGGCCCCTACAGCGACAATACTCTTCTCAGCCGCTAGCAGGGACTCCTCAAGGAGGTCGACAGTGAGAGTGGTGGGACAGACAGAGAGAAACTGGTCCCTAACGACACGAAGGGACTCAGGGAGACGGGTGACGAGAAAGTAGAGAGTGATGTACGTGGGAGGAGGGTTCGCAGCGCGGAACTCAGCAGGAAGGGCAGCTCGGTAGCGGGTGTCACTAGCACGGAGGTGGGTAACGAGGTCAGCGACAGTGGGAAAGGAAGCGAGGTCAGGGAAGAGAAACGGTAGCATGAGGCGGCTAAGGGTAGCGGAGGAAGGGGAGGAGTAGCGTGCAACTACAGCGTCGTACAAGGCCTGAGCGGTCTTGCACTGACTAAAGTGGGCACGCTCAGAGGAAGGGAGGTGGCGACGCACAGCAAGACGTGCAGCAGCATCGCGGGTCGCCCACTTGGAGCGAACGGCAGAGTCAGCATCAGCAGGTGGGGCAGGGACAGCGCCAGAGACAAAGTCAAAGAGAGAGACCTCATCTATCGCATCACACAGTAAGTACAGCTGCAGGTCTTCAATCCAGACGGCAAAGTCAATGGCCCTCCCCTCAGCGTCAAAAGTAAGAACATTGGGGGTGGCCATGGCAGCAGCTGAAAGTCTCACCGGGGTGGGAGAGTCGGGTAGGTCAGCAGCAGAGGAACACAGCTCAGGAACAGCAGCACGGCTCCTCAGGCGGCTCGGGCGGCTCGGGCGGCTCGGGCGGCTCGGGCGGCTCGCGCGGCTCGGGTGGCGTAGGGGCTCACGGGCGGCGCGGGCTGCTGGGGCTGCTCACGTGCAGCACGGCGGGCTGCAGCAGGGGCCGCGGGGAGGGCTGTAGCGGGGCCGACGGCGGGCCGACGGCGGGCTGTAGCGGGGCCGGGGCGGGCTGTAGCTGGGCCGGCGGCGGGCTGTAGCAGGGGCCGGTGGCGGGCTGTAGCGGGGCCGGCGGCGGGCTGTAGCTGGGCCGGCGGCGGGCTGTAGCTGGGCCGGCGGCGGGCTGTAGCTGGGCCGGGGGCGGGCTGTAGCTGGGCCGGCGGCGGGCTGTAGCAGGGGCCGGTGCGGGCTGTAGCGGGGCCAACGGCGGGCCGTAGTGGGGCCGGTGGCAGGCTGTAGCGGGGCCAGTGGCGGGGTGTAGCGGGGCCAGTGGCGGGCTGTAGCGGGGCCGGCAGCAGCTGAAGCGGGGCCGGCGTAGGGCCGTGGCGGGGCCGACGAGGTCTGGGCGGGGCCGACGAGGGGCCGAAGTGGGGCCTAGGCGGGCCGGCGGGGCCTAAGCGGGGCCAACGCGGGGCCGACGGGGCCTAAGCAGGGCCAACGCGGGGCCGACGGGGTCAAAGCGGGGCCTAAGCGGGGCCGACGGGCCTAAGCGGGGCTACGCGGGGCCGACGCGGGGCCTAAGCGGGGCCGACGGGGGGTACGCGGGGCCGACGTGGGGCCTAGGCTGGGCCGACGAGGAGCCGACGGGGTCTAGGTGGGGCCGACGCGGGGCCTAAGTGGGGCCGACGGGGGCTACGCGGGGCCGACGAGGGGCCTAGGCGGGGCCGACGAGTGGCCTAAGCGGGAGCACGACGGGGAGGGCGACACGGAGGGTCGCTAAAAAAAAATGCGCGCCTCGGGGCGCGCTTCGGTGGGCCCTAGGAACAGGCCCTAAGAAGGGACCTGCTCTGATTCCATGAGAAAGTGTGAACGAGAATGAAATGACTATGAACGAAGTGAGTACAAATAGGAAACCCTAATTGGGTTGTACCCCCTATGGGATACCCCACTATAGCCTACAGAAACAAGTAAGCTATATGTTCTGACACAAGCGTCTGGACGCCCCGTCCAGACGCCAGCGTAAAAAACGCCTGACGCGTCAGGCGCAACATAGGTGCATGCTCATGTCATTCCCCTACAGAATCTAGTCTAGTCTGCTCATGACCGAGTCGTCGATTTATCTAGACCGATAAAGAAAACGGTACATGCATACCGTTGACAAGCAGTCAATCGTATGTCATGCAGCTTGGCTAATCTGCTTTGGTTCACCCAACCCAACATACCAACATTCTGGTCATGACTCACTCCTACCAAGCACATACGACCTTGCTATTGCTTTGCTTGTTTTGCACACAAAGCAAACGCTTCAGTTCAGTCTGTCTTGGTGCGATTTTTTTCCAAGACACTCATTTGCGTAAAAAAATCTTCCGACTAGAAATATCAACTAAATTTGGCCGTGAATATATTTTGAAGTACATTCATCTGCATCATCGGCATTCTTCTCCTTAATACCTTGTCACATGAGTTCCACTCACCCCATCATAAGCGGCGAACGTGGGAGCAGATGCCTGAATATGAACCACCACTGGCTGCCGCTGCACTGCCAGCATGAGCCCCACATACCCCTTGAACCGCGTGCGCTCAAACCCTTGAACAGGATAGTACTTCACCTGCACAGCGTTTTGTTTGTGAATCATAGAATAGAAGAACAAGAACAGAATAGACCAAACAGAGACAAACAAACAAAAAAAAATCCACAGGACCATTCCATCCGCATTCACGTCTCCTGAAGGAGAAGAAAAAGAAGACAATAATATATGGGACACATGATGGTTGCCAGTGCTTCTCCTGGTGATCTGTCCAATCACACCATAACATAACAGGTGGAGCCCTTTTGAGCTCCTTTTAATTACTTTCTTTTTTTCCTAGGCACCTTAGAAATCGCCTCACTGCATGCAACACTTACAGCAGCTTGTTTGCTTGGCACGACACCAGCAATGTTGCTGGTAGCTAGAGTGAGTCCCTTCTTTGGCAGAGCAAGCAGCTTCTCAAAGGCCTCTGTTGGAGATCCCCCTGTGGTGCATTTCTTGGCTTGAGAGGTGAGCCCCATGGCTGCAAAGAGCGACTCCACTGACAGCTGCGGCGCTGCTTGGTTCGTTGCGATGCCGTATGCTGCTTCTATGCTCGCCACCACTGCATACGCCCAGCACGCATCTGAGCAGTGCGTGAAACACAAGGTGAGGAGGAAGAGAGTGCGGGACAAAGTGAAAGGGAGGATGCTGTTTTAGATCTTTGAAGAAGATGTGAGAGAATGTAGACACAAACAACAAGCAGCCAAGTCTGATCTAACAACAAGACGCGAATTCCTTCCTCATCCCATGTTAATTTTCCATTCATGGCAATCGAGCCCCTCCCTCCGAACCTGCCCCCTCTCCTCATTCTAACCACTCCCCCCATTCCGCTTCCCCTTTCCCCCCTCTCTCCCTCCCTCCCTCCATATCTCTCCTCTGCCCACCCTACCACCCAACCCCACCCTGTCGCCCTCCTCCCACCACACCCACGGCATTCACTACAGGCGTCCCTCCCTCCCCCGCCTCCCCCTACACCCATGCCACTCACTGCAGGCGTCCTGGTCCTTGACGGGCCAGGAGAGCCACGGCACATCCCAGGAGGAGGGATCGCGGAGGAGCCAGGCGTCCTGCTGCCCCGAGAGAGCATACGCCGCACTCACATAGCGCGTGAACGGACTCGCACTCGCTGGCCGGAACGTTGATTGGGACACAGAGAGCCCATAGGCTGCCTCAACGGAGCAGGGAGAGGAAGGGGGACAAGGGTGGGGGGGGGAGGGGGGAGAGGAGGAGAGGAAGGGTGGGGGGGGGGGAGAGGGGGACAAGGGTGGGGGAGGGGAGGGGGACAAGGTTGGGAAGGGGGGGGGGGACAAGGGTGGGCGGGGGGTGGGCGGGTGGGTTGGGGGGTTGGGGGGGAGGAGAGGAAGAAAGTGCAGGGAACTTTGTGGTGGGAAGGAGTGGAGGAAGGAGGAAGGACAAGTGATAACCAATGGTGGAGAGAAAATGTGTGTCTGTGGAAAGAGATGGGGAGGTGTGGAGAAAGAAGGGGGGGGAGGAGAAAGGGGGATTAGGGGGGGGGGGGGGGCTTTATGGGTTTGAAAAATACCTTACGCTGTACTACACACTAGTTCTAGCCAAAAAAGGCTCCCTCCAAAGGTGTACCTGGTGAGACGATGGACGCTGGCTTGGATGGTGTGGGCACAGTCAACCCTGTTGGCATAGACGGGTGCGTACGTAACAAACAACCGAGTCAATTAGAAAAAAACAAATGGAAGCCAAAATTAACAGATGGAATTTTACACAAGAACCAGATTCAAGTGAAAGCAATGGTCGGTTGAGCAGTATTCACTAATTATTCTAGAGGGGAGTCTAATTATACTAGTGGCGAGTTGTTTTTCTCCTAGAATCGCATATTACTTGCACTTCCCAACAAAGGAGTCAATGCGGGAATTCAGGGTTTGGGGAACCCCCGGCCGCAGAAGGTTCACTGAGAAAGCGTGAAACTCAGCAGTCGCCTTGATTGCCTGAACACTTGGGCCACGACCACACCCACTCACAAAGCATACAGGCAGATTCATTCCAATCTGGCCCGACTGACCTGTTTCAACGAAGGACACGAGGATGGCGTGCTGCTGCTGGAAGGGAGCCACAGAGGACGCCACAAACCCAAAGTAAAACGACCTCTTAGTTTGTGTTGGCTGCAGCACGTCACACAGCGACAGAGGGCTCTCCAGTAGGGGCGAGTCAGGCTTGTCCCCACTCGCAGCCAGATACACACTCAGGGTTCCCGGGCCTCCGGGGTCACCAGGCTTGTAGTCAATCCATGCGGTGTAAGTCTAATGGTTGTTGAGCGTGAAAGACGAACGGACAGCTGCAATGGAAGTGGCGCTGCCGCCGGTGTTGAGCCCCACGTGGTGGCCGGGCATGTCCCCATGCGCTGCATCTGTGAACGTGTCAAACTCTACCGCTATGCTCCGACCGTCCATGCCAGCGTACCCCACCCCTCCCCCCTCCCCACCAGTCCCGGCCGCATTCGTCGCTGAAATCACAAACGCGAGCCCCTGGCCCGCCTTGGACGCGCCACCAGCAGAGGGGAACATGAAGAATGTGAACTCGACTCGGATTGGCAGGTCGGCGCCACATCCGTCTGGAACTGTTCGGTACGTGGCGACGGCGAGAGGGTCCGCAGTGAACACTCCTGCAGTTGCTTCTGCACCCTTTGTGAGAATGGTCAGCGCCACCAGCTCTTTTCTTCCCACCGACCCTGCATGCAGCAAGGGCCGTCAGCAGATTGTGGACAGAAGCGAAGGGAGAAGAGTTGAGGGGCGAGAACATTCGAAAAGGAGAGGAAGGGAAGCATTGGAAAGAACCAACAATGGAGAGGGGTGCAGAAAATTCGCTGCTCCTATTCCATATATCCGGAGGGGTGCTGCTTCTATTCCACATACCCGGAGGGGCGCAGTAGATTCTTCCATCCTGCACGGCTCCATCCTCACAGCGGCACGTGGGGATACGATTCGGCCCGTCCAGATAGCAGACTCCCAGGCCGTTACAAACAGGCGTGGTGGCGCCCTCCAGCCCACAGAACGCGTCACACACTGCTGCCGGGCGCTGCTCCGCACACGTGATCCACGGCTTGTCCGCCGCTAATGCTGCAGTGGAGAAGCAGTTTGCCCCACGAGACTGTCTGAAATCGCCGCATTCACGTTAGGTCAACTCCCTCACGAGATAGTTGTCCGCAATGTCCCTATGAGGAAGAACGAGGGGCAAATCGTGAGGGGCGGAGAGGGAGGGGAGAGACTTTTGAGTTGACCCACAAGGCATTCGCGCTCGGACAACTCTCTTACAAGATAGTTGTCTGCAATGTCCCTATGAGGAAGGGAGAGGGGGTGGTGAGGGGCGGAAGGGAAAGAAGAAGGAGAGAGCAGGAGAGACGGAGAGAGAAGAAGCGATGCAGCAATCGCAAACATGATAATACATGTAATGTAAACAAAAAAAATATGGAGGTTGGTGTTTGGCAACAAAAGCACATGTAATATAATTGAGGCAGTCAACGCAGCACAGGCACGGCCGAGATGAAGCAGGGGCAGCAGAAAAGAAAAATGCCACACAGTGCACGCGTGTTCTCAAAAGCCACGTCTTCTGCTGCAACTGTGCAGTGCAGAGCAGAACTGCAGGGGAGACTCACAGGAAGAAGAGGCTGGACAGCATTGATACAGAGTTTGGGACACGACCAGTGAACTGGTTCGAAGCCAGGGACCTGGGGTGCACAGGGCACATTGCACTCACACACGATGGGATAGTGGGCATGGGCATGGGCATGTGGACTGTATGGCACGGCGCATGCGAGGACGAGGATGAAATACGTGGGATGCTAGGTGCATGGCACGGGTGGCATGCGGTCGTGGAGAGGGAAAGGAGGAAAGTAGCACATGAGTCTGTGTGCATCTTTCTTGAATTAGCGTAAATGCGTGTGGATCTGGGTACGTGCGTGTGCATGTGTATGGGTGCGTGTGGGTAGGCAGGTGCATGTGGGTGAGTGCATGTGCGTACATGCATGGGGGTGGGTGTACGCGGGTGCACGCGTGTGTGTTCATGACCGTGGGTGTGGGTGCCATGTAGGGATGAGCAAGGTGGCGAACACCTGTTCGGTTCGCCTCGAACACGTTCGAGGCGAACCGAACAGGTATTTTTTTTTGGCTTAAAATGTTCGCCGAACAGTGTTCGATGTTCGCCCGAACACGTTCGTGTTCGGGCCGCCGCTGCAATTTGCCCGTGACGAACACGAACACTGTTCGAGGTTCGCCCGAACACACCTTCACAGGCGAACGGCGAACACCATTTTTTGCTCAAAGTGTTCGCCGAACCGAACAGTGTTCGGTTCGGCAAACGAAGGTGTTCGTGTAGGGGCGAACACGAACACGTTCGTGTTCGCCACTTGCTCATCCCTAGTGCCATGTTCCGTTACGAAGCGGGAAAGGGAACCGGCGTAAGGGAGAAACAGGGAAGAGGGCAGCCAGAGATGCATGGAACGACTACTGGACTGAATACAACACTAACCATGAGATGAGAATCAAATCAGAGATGCTTCAGGGTTCAGCGCCATACGTACAGGAAGTGTACGTGGCCCAGATTGCCAAGTATCGACGGCACGCTGCCAGCTAGTAAGTTCTCCTCCAGATGACTGCCAGGGCGCAGGGATTAGGAGTGTGACAATGCAATACAAGTCAAGGAGGGGAAAGGGAGGGGGTAGCAAGTACAGGCTGTAAATCAACGAGAACAAGATAGTAAAGGACAGCGCATGCATGCAGGTACACCCTCTCAGAGGAGTATACATTAAAAGCTGTAGCAGGTGAGTGAAATGAAAGCACTGCTGCTGCAGACGTTGAACCAGGGCACTTACAGCTCTTCCAGTTGAAAGAAGTTGCCAATAGAATCGGGGACATGGTAAACGCATTGTCGTTGAGATAACTGATTGGCACGGGGTGGAAACGGAATGACACAGTTTGGTTGGGTTCTGATATGCGAATCATCTCATGAATTGGATGCTGCTGGATGGATGGCACTGTTGCTGCTGCTGTGGCTGCTGCTGCTGACGGAACAGAGGAACGAGCAACGGAGGGATCGAGACTGGTGGTGGTGGTGGGTGGGTGGTACTAGGGCAGTGGTACTGACAGGTAACGGAGTTTTGCAAGCTGACCGATGGCGTCTGGGATGGACCCCGAAAGCAAGTTGTCATTCAGCTCCCTGCAGGTGATGCCGAGGGGGAGAGGGGAACAGAGGGAACAGAGAGGAACGAGGGGAACAGAGGAGGGCAGAGGGAACAGAGGGGGACAGATGGGGGCAGGGGGTGGCAGAGGGGGCCAGAGGGGGGAAGAGAGGGGCAGAGGGGGCCAGATGGGGGCAGCGGGGGACAGAGGGGGGCAGATGGGCACAGAGGGGGACAGTTGGGAACAGATGTTGACAGAGGGGGACAGAAGGCGACAGAGGGGGGAAAAGAGGGGCAGAGGGGGGCAGAGGGGGGCAGCGGGGGGCAGAGGGGGGCAGCGGGGGGCAGAGGGGGCAGCGGGGGACAGAAGGGGACACAAGCCGAATGACACATGGCTGCCAGGTACGTGGGGTTGCCGGAATAAAAATCACCACACACTGAACGGGTGTGCTGCATAGCGGGTGAGCTAACTGCTTGCCGTCCCTCACCCAGGCTCCCTACAGCAACCCCCCAGCGCCCCGTTTGATTGCAGCAGCATAAACAAACCGCACAGGTATTCCAGCTGAACGAGGGTGCCAATGGACGACGGTATGGACCCCTTGAGTTGCTCGAATGCCATGTGCCTGTTAGGGGTGATGATGATGATGATGATGATGACATCACAAAAATGCGTGTGTCTGAAAATCATCTGACATTCGCGGCAGCCTATCGTACGTTTGACAATCGTTTGAAAAACGTACAGGGAAACTCTAAAAAACGTTTGCCTTCGGCGGAATGTTTTCCAGTCACATTCTGAATGTTTGCCCCTAACTATTTCTTGCTTGTGCGCAGGATTAGGGTTCCAGGCCTATCAGATAGCATAGTATAGCTCAGCCGACGAAAACTGCCGCCCATTTTCGCGGTTCAGAACGGACAACCCCCTTCCTCGTGGTTGACGACCCCACGACGACCTCCGCGTGGAAAGCCCAGCCTATCTGGCTGGGCCCGGTGCTGGTGAGCCCTCGGGATGGTCGACGACCTGTCGACCTAGAGTTCCGCTGAGACAATCCCGAGAAGGACGTCTCAGCCGCGTGTCAGAATACCAGCTCGGCAAGTCGGGCCGCGATGATCGCCACGCGGCCACAAAGGGACGCCCGAGATAGTCCCCTGGATGGCGGGGCCACCTAGGTCTGCCAGGTTGGACACGACGGGCCAACGGAAGGTCGGGGTGCTTCGCTTGGGAGAATCTCGCGCATGAACGTGGCAATGTCGGTGCATACCACACGGCATTCATCCAACGGTTGCTCACATGCGCAAGGAGAAATCCGGCCGTCCACTATCTATGGCTACGTGCAGTGGACACTGATGATGCGGGACATGTCGGCGTCGACCAGAAGAGCATCATCGTGGTGCCACACGGCAGTGTCTCCCGACCTCGACCTACCGAGGTGCACCTAATTCGGGACCACGCCACGTTGCCGCACGAAAGAGCCAGCGTGTAGCAGCCACGAAAAGAGCATGATGAGCGAAGCGCTTCAAGCAAGCAGCCATGCACGCCTGGTGGCACGTCGGACACGGCGCCGCCGCACGAGCGTACATGCATGGCGGCGTCGTGCACTGGGGTTTGCGTGGAGCGCCAAGTGGTGCGGAGTCGCTCACGACCATCCCCATCCGTGGTCCCCGAAATGGTCGCTCATTCCGCCTGCCATTGTGTGTGCCATTGCTTTTTTTTTTTACCACTGACTTGACGGCCGGCACTTGGATTTTCTCTAGAGGCGTAACGTCGGCGTCGTGATAGTAGGCAGACGTGGTCGCCGACCTCTCGTAGGATTGTCTGCTGTCCCGACCTGCCAGATACCGCCGACATAGAATACGCATTAAGTAGTTTATCGACCTCACCACGCCGACTTCCCATCGCCCTAGGTCGCGGTATCATGGCCAGAGGACAGCCTCGTTCGACACCGCCGCAAACCAACCCACCCCCCGCCGATGTCGACATGACGGACGTCATGAACCCCGCTAGCCAGGATGAGGACGTCCGCCCGGTAGACCGTACACCGACCAGTAACCCCTCGTCGACTTTGCCGCTGCTTTACGATCTCGACGCCCTGGCCCAAATCCCGCAGGGAGAGTTCACCAAGGACGTTCCGCCCGCGCCGATAGGGGAGTTCACGAAACCACGCAAAACGTCGACGCCGACGGATGAAGGGGAGGCCGGGCCGTCGTCTGTGCCGGACGGATCGGGCGACCAGGATGAGGACGATTATTCATCGGCGAGCGACGAGGACGACGAAGACGACCCGCGGCCCCGACGTGGTGCAGGTCCGCGCACGTTGGAAGAAAAACTCAGGGGGGAACGTGCGTTCATAGAGGAACTGTTGGACGAGAACGAGCTTGAGGATCTGCTGCACACGTCGGTCCCTCGAGAAATGTGGAAGGCGGCCGACTTCGTAGAGGAAGATATGGTGTACGCGTGCGTCGACGTGCTCGTGATGGAGGGAATGCGCCACCTGAAAACCATAGAGGCCAAGAGCACGCTCAAGTCCTACACCTCATGGATATACGACTACAAAAGGTGGACGGCGAAGATGCTTAAAAAAGTTGGCGACAAACTGCCGACAGCAGAACAAATGAGGCACGTCGACGAGATAGGGCACTGGACACACAACAAGAGCAAGGATTGGGACAACGAGAAGGTGGTCAAGCGGAAGCACATATGGCTGCACGGCCCCCGGGTCACTAGTACGCGACTGCGCGCCTACATCAAGTTCATGAGGCGGGAGTACAGGATCGACGCCGACACGAACGAGCCAGTGCGAGCCTACACGGTGCACATGATCCTCGGCCGCATCAAGGCCTGCCAGATGGCGGCGAGGGTGGAGGCGACGCTCTTCAAGGAGAAGGAGTTGGGCATCATGCGGGAAATCTCGGTGGTCCGGTCGGAGGTGCGGGTCATGGTCCGCACGAAAAATCAGAGGGACCTCGAGTAAGTTGGCATGCATCGCCGTGTTATGTCGCCATCGATTTGTTTCCTCGCCCTAATATTCATATCCATATATTGGTATGTCGACAGTAAATGCGCCGACCGTCGACGCGGCACCATCGGCGACACATACACCGCCGAACAGTTCCGCCAGATAATGACGAGGGTGCTGCCGGCTTGGGCGGCGTCGGCATGGAGCCCGCATTTCACCACACCTTCGCAGACGCTGTGGAGGTTTCTTCTCATCAAGGTGCTCACGCTGCTCTCCCACCACAGCCTCATGCGCGGTGCAAGCATACGCGAGATAACGCTCCCCGACATCTTCCTGTACCGACTGGCGAGCACCTCGTCGGTGAACCCGGATAACCAGCCGGTCGTCATGGTGGTCGCCGCGCGGAACTCGAAGACGTCGAAGGATGCGCGTCTTCAACAGAGCTACGCGGCGCGGCACCTAGAAGCGGAGTTGTGCGTCGTCGGCGAGACCGGGCTGTGGTTACACTTCGTCCTCGACCAGATCGGCCAGTTTCACGGAGTCGACCTCATTCCGCCGGTCGACACCAGCACACGCGAGCTCTGGTACAAGAAGCACCTGTTCTTCGCCCGCAACGACCCCGAGCAGGGCGAACTCTCAGCTCCCAGCCACCAGCGATGGACGAGGCAGATGTGGAAGACGAACGGGGTGTTCTGCAAGCGGAACGTCCATGCCGCTCGGGCGGGCGGGGCGCAGGAGTTGGCCATCCAAGGTACGCCTCGCGCCGAGATAGCCGAGCTGGGTCACTGGGCTCTCGACAAGATGACTCGAGCCTACATCACGTCCATTCCCGTCGGCGTGGTGATGAAGAAGGCCGGCTATTCGGGATTCACGCAGGAATACTTCTTGGGTCGCAGTAGGGTGGAACCGGGAGACGAACTCATCGCTCTCATCGCCGAGCACATCTTCCCCGACGTCGACGACCTCCTCAACAAGGTTTGTTTATCGGTGCCGACCAATCTTGCATGGTACTGTCCTATCCACCATGGAAATAACCCCCGTCTGATGTCTAACTGCAGGCAGAAGAACTCGCGAAGAAGGGGTCCGACGCCGACGTTGCGGCCGTGCATTTCTGGCGCACCCTTCTGATGTTCCGCCGCATTGTCGCCGAGGACCTCGCGGTGAAACTCGTCCGCACCCCTTGGCACCCGTACATCCAGTATTCCAAGCTCTGCCGGATTCCCCTCTTCCAACACTGGGCGAAGAGGGTCGAGAAGACCGACACCGACACCATAAAAAAGCGGCAAGATCCAACCCTCATCCAGCCAGAGGTAGGTCATCTTTTATGCCGACGTCGCGATGTTATCTATGACCGCTACAACCCCTCATCTGCACCGTTATTCGCATACCATTGCAGGAGATATCGGTCCGCCATGACGCCCAGTTCGCGGTCGTCTCCCTCACGGAGACGCTCAAGCTCGAGAGGGAGCGGTCAACGGTCCAGAAGCTCGACCTCGAGGAGAAGATCGAGAATCGCGACGCAACCATCGCGTCGCTCGCGGCCGAGATAACACGCCTCACCGAGGCTCTCCGCGTTTCAGAAGCTCGAAGGATGCCGGAGGCGCCGCCAGCTGCTAACGACCAGTCGCCGAGCGACGGTGGCTCCGCGGAGTCGGCAAGCAGGGGTGGAGGAGCCAACAAACCCAATAAACCCCCACAGACGGTCGAGGAGGCTACCTACGAGCTGAACGTAGTGCAGCCTTGGCGGACTGCAACGACCGTCAAGGACGCGTGGCGCCTCTGGACCTCGTGCACCAGCGCCGACACCCGTCGTCTGTGCGACAGGTTCAGGGAGCCGGGATTCGTCGACCGCCACACCCTCCTCGACGGAGCCTCGCAGGGAGCACACGGGAAGAGGGTGCGCCGCATGATGAAGGTCATCGATGCGGTGCGCCAGCTTCGCAGGAGCGACGGCGAAGCCGACACGGAAGCCACCGTCGACGCGCTTAACAAGATAGCGGCGCCTGGCATTGGGACCTTCGCGGATGCCCTCACGGTGCTCAACGCGGACGCCGTAGCGACCTATGCTGGGCAGGGTAAGGGCGTCAAAGGGCTCGGCAAGACGGAATTTTCCAAGCTTCGTGTCGCCTGTGCGTTCGTGGCGCGCGGGCTCAAGCCCGAAACGTGGGTCGCCGACCTGTTCCCGGACACCTGGGTTGAGCAGATGAAGAAGACGTTGGCCGACCTGGCCCGCGAAAACGACGCCGGGCAGCTGCCTCCGACCAATAAGTCGACCAAGCGCAAGAAAACCGCTTGAATGTTCCCAGGCCTCCTGCTACTGTGGCCTGTTGCATGTTGTAGATGTTGATGCAGCATGCCTATGTTTCATACTGATACTGATGTCGACTTTTTGTTTCTCTCAATGATCCTGTTGTTCTCGGCCTAGCGGGGCATTCACGTGTCGTTCAAACTGAAGTAGACAATCATTACTAGCTAATGTGTTCATTACTCATCCTACGTAAAGTAGACAGGCACGCACAAAGAAAGAGCATCAAAGGGATCCGACAGCCAAAACAAGGAAAACGGTATCGACCATTTCATCATCGAGTCCACGCAGCACTCAATCTTAGCATGCCGTCGACTAGGCCGTCGTGCTGTCCTTCTTCGACTTCTTGACCTTCTCCGTGCCGCCCTTGGTCTTCGTCCCCTTCTTGCCCCTCAGACCCTTCCTCCCCCTGTTGTCAAGATCGGCCTTCATCTGCGCGTCAATCGGCACCGCGATGTCCCTCGCTCTTAGTTTCGGCCCGGCGACGGGGCACATTCCCCAAAACGCCATCGTCTCAACCGTCGCTCTAGCGATAACGTCGGCATCTACTCCAGCATTCCCCCCCGGATATACCGTATCAAGGGCGGTCCTCTGGAGTGCTGGCGCGACGTTGTAGGCAACCTCTCCCAAGGGGCGGTCCCTGTTCATCTCGGCTTTTAGCACCGCCTCCATGACTTTTCCGAATACATCGGCGGTCGCCTGGCTCGCTCCGCCGATGATCGCCGCCGACTTCCCTTCTTCCACAGCATCCGCCAGCTGGGCATCGCCGTTCTCGACGAAGCACCACACAGCGCATGCGGATGCTGCTAACGCCCATGCTGCCATATCCGTCTTCTCCTCCTTGTCTCCCTCCTTCTTCGCCGCTGCCGCAGCGGTCTTCCCATATGCAGCGCACATTGACACGCGGCCTATCATCGCCGACATCATGGACGCCGACTTCTCCCGGCCTTCCTCGGTGCTAGCATCGACTGGGTACCATATCGCTGGCAGGAGCGCGGCGTGGAGACAATCGCCTGTGGACTTGTAATGGCGATACGCGTCGAGGATCTCCGTCAGCCTGTCACGCCACCACAAACAGGGCGAACATGAGTGACAACGACAACGACATCGACTTTGAATCGGAGGATTGCCGACTTACCGTGTCTTTGGAAGGAGCGTACCCCGGGCCCACATCACCGTCCACATCCCTGTCGGCAAGATCCTGACCTCCTCCCACACCTCCTTCCACCTCTCCAATTCGGCGCTGTCCAAGCCGGTGAGCTCGGTCATGAGCACCTTGCTCACGAAACCGTCGTAGACGACGTACGCGATGGAGTGAACGTACGCGAGCTCCATCTTGTTCCGCGACTTGCCGATGTATCGATTGATGCCGTGCACCTTAATCTCGCCGACCCACCCTTGCTTGTCGCCCGAGGTATCGTGTCGGATGCCATGACCCCTCCTCTCCTTGCCCTTCCCCTCCTCCTCCTCCTCCTCCTCCTCCTCCTCCTCCTCCTCCTCCTCCTCCTCCTCCTCTTCCTCCTGCTCGACCTCCTCCACCTCCTCGACATCCTCATCCTCCTCCTCCGCCTTCCTCTTTCCCTTTCTCCCCTTCGAGGAACCCTCGCCGACCGCCTTCTCCTTCCCCTTTCTCCCGGTCGACGCACCTTCTCCGACCGACTTGTCCTTCCCCTTCCTCCCCGTCGACGTACCCTCGCCGGGCGACTTCTGATTCTCCCCTTTCCCTTCAACCTCCCCAATGCCGCCTCGATCTTTGTCCGCCGCCGTCTCCGCCGCCATCCCCTTCTGTTTATCCGCCGCCTTCACCTCCGACTTCTCCCGCGTCTTCCTCTGTGAGCCCGCCTTCCCCTTCCGTTTCGACTTTCCCTCACCGACCGCATCACCGGTCGCACTAGGCTCTGCCGCGATGCCGACGAGTCCCGCCGAAGGCTCCACATGTTCCGTGTCGGAGATGGCCAGGGTTCGGGGATTGGCTGCATCCAGATGGGCCTGTATGGCAGCGATATCAGCGTCTGCGGGGACCTCCTCAACGGCGCCGCCGCCGGTGGCAAGCGCGGCACGAACGCCCTTCTCCGCCGCCTTCTCCACATCAGCTGCCACATGGGTGGGTGGTGCGACATTCGCCGACGACGGCTTAGAGCCAGAGCCAGAAGCCTGCTGAGTCCTCTCAGTCGACGCTAGTGCGCCCAGCTGGGCGCGCAACAACGCGGACTTTGGGTCTGCAGGAGTACGGGCGGCGACGACCGGCACTACACGTGGCCCACTGGCCGATGGGACGTCGACAGCAGGGGGGGCCTGTTGAACAGCCCTGTGGCCGGCTAGGAGCCTGAGCTGCTCCTTGAGCGCGTCCGCAACTGCCGCCCCTTTTCCCGCGCGGCCAACCTTGTCGGCAGACGGTATGTCGGCATGGCGCGGGACGTCGGTAGGTCGCCCGGCAGACGGTCCGGTCGGATGGCGTGCACCCGCGGGAGACTGGTGAGGAACCGCTGACGCCTCCGCAACCCCTGTCTTCGGGCCCTGGCCAGCTTTCGCGGACCCGCCTGGGGCCGTTTTGGCGGCGGCCTTCTCCTTGTCGCGCAGGCCTTTCACACCGCTACCCTGTCGTGGTGGCTTAACGCCGACCGAAGGCGGAGCCATTGGCAGTGCGTCATCAGTGGCATGCTCGTCGGCGGGACCCCCACCACCATGGCCTGTGCTGGCCGCTCCAACCTGAGCCCAGTGCTTCCTGAGGATGTCGACCACGCTCTTCCCCGACTGCTTCAACGAACTGCCGTCGCCGGCTCCCATGCTCCCATCGCCGGCGACGCGAGAACCAGCCGCTCCCTTGGTCCGCCTCGCGCCCGCCGAATCGTCTCCGTCCCCCCCCCTGCCGCCAGACCCCCCGCCTCCCTTGCTCCGCTTCGTGTTCGCCGAATTGTCCCCGTCGCCCCCCCCCGCCGCCTCCCCGCCTCTTGTGACCCAGCTTCAAGCCCTCCGTAGGTTGCGCTTGGCCGGCGTCGTTTGCCGACGGCGACGACCCACGCCGAGCATACGCCACCGTGCCGACGACCTCGGCCATTATCTTCAGTCCGGAGGCGAGGAAGGACTGCTGCGTGGTCTCCGTCACCGCCTTCAGCACGTCCTCCTTGAAAGACTTCAGGAAAGCTTCCGGCAAGGCCTGCGCTGGGCCGGTAGGCGGCGGCGGCTGGACTAGGCGGGGCGCGACGCCGGCGGCAATGTTGGTCTGCGCGGCGCCGATGTATTTGATGAACGACTCCTCCAACCCCTTCCTCGCCTCGCCCACCTCCGCCGTCACGTGCTCGGTCACTGTCTTCACCGCGGTCGCGCGTGCGACTGCCGCTCGTCCCTTGGGGTCGTCAAGATCCAGCAGCGTCTGCCTCGCTAGCTCGGCGAAGGACTTGGCCGATTGAATGGCGCTGTCCATGTTGTCGGTGAGGTCCTCGGTGATTGTGGTCGCCATGGTCGACGTGGCCTCTTTGAGGCGCTCCTCCTATTTCCGGTCGGTGTCGGCGACCTGGGCGGTCAAACCCTTCACCTTCTCGAGGAGCCCAGCTAATGCCGCCGCCAAGCTGTCGACCCGCCCCGTCTGCTCACCGAGCCGCCGTTCAAGGAGTGCATTGTCTGCACGCAATCGCCTGTTCTCCGCCCTCAGCTGATCGACGACGTCCAGCCGCGCCTGCCGCCCAGCCGCGGTGGAACCGGGATGACCGCTCGCCGCCTTCTTCCTCCTAGACCGCTCCCCGCCGGCCTTCTCCGCGGTGGCATCGGTATGCACATCCACGCCCCTCTGCTCCGGGACCGCGGCGTTATCCCCTTCACCGACCTCGACCATGCCACCACCTCTGTGAGCCGCCTCCACGCCGACCTCGCCGATATTCGCTGTCGCACCCTTCCCCTCCCCTTCGTCGTTCTCGACATCCGCCGATCTCCCACCCGTTTCCTCCGCTCCTCCGACAACGTACCCCTCCGCTCCTCCGACAACGTACCCCTCCGCCATTTCCACGTCCTCCACCTCTACCAACTGCTCCTCCTGGTGCTGCCTCTCGTGCTCCTGCGTCTCCTGCTCCTGCTCCTCCTCCGACTCCGACTCCGAGCCCGATCCCGACCCCGACCTCGACCCCGACATCGACCCCGACGACTCCTCCGAGCCCCCCTCACCCTCACGTTCCTCCTCGCGATCCTGGACCCCATCATCATCCCCGTGAACAACCTCGGTCCCGGTCACCCCCTTTCCTGCGGCCGCATCGGCCTCGTCGACGCCGACTCCCGACTTGCCACGCGCATCAGCGACGTTCGGGGCGACCCCTACTGGTACGGATGCAGAATGGACTTCCTCGCCGTCGTCGTCACAGGCGTCGGCAGCAACAACGGTTTTCCCCGACCGTATGAGCGGGACTTGCTTCTTGATGAGGGCTACCATCTCGTTCCGCAGCGCCTTCAACCCCGAGACGGTGGGCTTGTCCATGCTGGTGGCAATGCGACGGAGGTCGCCGGTCAGGCGCTGGAACCGCCTCACAACCCAGATCAACGCGCTCATTGCTAGCAGGCCGGAGCCCGCGTCCGAGTCCCGGACGGTATCGGGAATTTTCTGCATACAACAGTGCAGAGAGCAAGGATGAGGGCGGCGTAGATGTGACACCATATGACGGCGAATCGTCCGGAACTCACATCTCGAAGGGGTTCGTCGCAGTCGGCGAGCCTCTCCTGCACCTCGTCTTCGGACGGCTTCGCCCACTCCCATTTCCTACCCTCGCGCCGCAGCTCGGCCAGAACAGCGGTCCGGAAAAACCTGCAAAAGCACGGCAAGGACGGTCGGTTAGCACGGTGCACGCGTCGTGTCGACAATGTATGCGATGTCGACTAAACTATCGAGCTCACTTCAGCACGCGGATCGCCTCGTCGCGGTGCCACTCCTTCACTGTCTGCGGGTCGGCGTGCCGGATCGAGGTCCTGACCTCCTGCCCCGAGGCATTGAACAAATCGCCGGGGCACAGGATGAGAACGACGCTGCAATGCGCTCCCGGAAGCGGTGCGATGCTGCACAGACAAGGCACGTCGATGGCGCTCAGAACAAATCACCGACACAGGTTGCAGCACACAGCAGGACCTCGAACCTGCTCACCTCGATATCAGTGGGATAACCGCCACGTCGGCGTCGAAAATCGTCGCAAAGCATGTGTGGTCGTCCTGACCCATCGCCGCCCGAAGCCGGCCGACTCCTATCGACCACAATCGCTCGCCTGCATCCGTTGAGCGGATCCATGCGTGCCTGCACGCATGCATGATTACAACAGATTAGAGAGGTATAGGTGTGCGGCACGACGGTGGAATGACAGGAGCGGAACGACTTCGGCACAACTCAGCGTCGTCGACGACCTAACGCATTACGTCGGCATCACCGATGTGATGTGCCTGAACTCTAAGCCCGTCGACATATACTACTGGACGCATTGAAACCCCGCCATGGCCGACCAGCATGGAATAGGCCCGTCGACGACGACATCTCCATAAGACACTCACTTGAGACCGAGTCCCAAGCAACGGGCGTTAAACTCTAGCATAGGGTTTGTCAGAACGGCGTAGTCGTGCTCTTCGAACTTGGCCGTGTGTCCTCTACCGATGTCTAGATGCAGGGGGAAATCTAGCGAGGTCGGCGCCGCTTCGGCGGCTTTCTGGCCGGCTGCCATGGCGGGAGAGCGAGGATGCTATGCTACAGGCTAAGGGAAGAAGCGGTGGGAGTATGGAAGGCGACGAGGTGGGAGGAAAAATGAAAGAGAAACGAGAACGCGAAAATGAGGGGCCAGTCCACCTCCAACGAAGAAAAGCCAGGCGGAGCCACGCAGGCCCGGTTGAGCTTCGCCCAGGGGGCCGTGATGCCTGGCTCGGCAGGGCTCGTGCACAAGTTGCGTGGCACAAGTGCACCCTCGCCGCCGAGCCAACAGGTCGACGTCACGTGCCCCGGCCTCGGTCGGCCAGGGGACGCAACTTCGCGTGGGCGCGGTGCGACGTTTCGGCACCACGTGTCGATTTCGCAGAGGGTCGCGAAAGCCGTGCGCCCCGTGGCGAACGACCCAGGTTTTCGCTCGAGTTTCGGGGGGTACGAAATGTCTCATGCACGCGATGCGAAATGACGGGCGAGCACGTGGCGTCACCGCAACGGGTCGCGAAATAGTCGAGCGACCCGAGGGGAGCCCCCGATTTTCGCGTGGACCTCGCCTGCCCGTACGGGCAGGCCGCGATGGGTTACTAGGGCCTCGCGGGCACGAGGGAGGGGTGGGCTGCCTTCGCGGCAGGGTTACTTCCCCTCGCCCGAGGTCTCGCCAGCTCGCCGCCCCCACCCGGTAACGTGGGTCGCTGTTCACTCTCGGGGGGGGGGGTTGCGGGGCGGCGGTCGTGCGCCCGGCCCAGCCCAGGGCCAGGCTGGCGGGCCCGCACGCGCGTCACTCGCCCGCCTCGTCAGACCCCTGTCCGTCGACCCCCCTCGTCGACCCTGGCAACTCGGGTCCGTCGACCTGATTCCGCTGGGATCTTCAGTCGAGCATGTCTCTTCGCGTGGGAGCAGATAGCGAGAAATTTGATTCTCTCCAAGAATTCCTCGTTTAGGCTTTTGTGTACCATTTGTTACATTTATGACATTTGCACTTATGTTTCTTTGAATATGATGATGTAATTTTCTCTATGAAAATAGTGTTTCCAAGAGTCATGTTTAACCATTTGAAGGAAATTTTACACCTATTATATTCTTACAAGGCCTAAAAAGAACATAGTCAGGGAACAATTTCATGTTTACAAAAGTCACAATGTGTCAAAGTTTTCTATGTTCGCTAGACCTCATCAAACGAATCTATTAAGAAGGCTCACTTCATCGTCCTCACATGAGGGAACAATGTGTACGAGACTGAGAATGCAGTCGACATCAATCACTGCAAAATCATCCTCGCCCTCTGTGGGTAGAAGGCGCTTGCATCCCGTTGACGGGCATAGTTGTTTGTCCTCGGTGTAATACTCCACGTATGCTTCGCGCCTCAGCTCCCCATCTTTGTTGTAGTGAAACAGGACAAGACAACGGCCGTACCAGGGGGACCCCTTCCCTGCAGGGTTGATTGCAACAGATGAGAAGTTCTTCTCGCCCGGGCTAGCCTTGACAAACTGCCCACTTGACGTCCATTCCATCTTATCGTGAGGCGGAATCGCAAGTGCCGTGTGCACCTGAAACCACGAGCATGAACCAAGAAAATGTGAAAGCAGCGAAAGAGGCGGTGGAGAGCATAGCGAAAGGGGGAAATTGGCCAAGGGCTGGAGTGGGTGGAAAAGCATTTTGGAGAGGAGGAAGGGGGGCTGGAGTGGGTGGAAAGCATTTTGGAGAGGGGGAAGGGGGGCTGGAGTGGGTGGAAAGCATGCAGAAGAGGGGGAAAGGGGGCTGGAGTGGGTGGAAAAATATTTTGGAGAGGGGGAAGGGGGGCTGGAGTGGGTGGAAAGCATTTTGGAGAGGGGGAAGGGGGGCTGGAGTGGGTGGAAAGCATGCAGGAGAGGGGGAAGGGGGGCTGAAGTGGGTGGAAAAGCATTTTGGAGAGGGGGAAGGGGGGCTGGAGTGGGTGGAAAGCATGCAGGAGAGGGGGAAAGGGGGCTGGAGTGGGTGGAAAGCATGCAGGAGAGGGGGCAGCGCAGCTGGAGTGAGTGGAAAGCATGCAGGAGTGGGGGAAGCGCGGCTGGAGTGAGTGGAAAGCATGCAGGAGAGGGGGAAGGGGGGCTGGAGTGGGTGGAAAGCATGCAGGAGAGGGGGAAGGGGGGCTGGAGTGGGTGGAAAGCATGCAGGAGAGGGGGAAGGGGGGCTGGAGTGGGTGGAAAGCATGCAGGAGAGGGGGAAGCGGGGCTGGAGTGGGTGGAAAGCATGCAGGAGAGTGGGAAGGGGGGCTGGAGTGGGTTGAAAGCATGCAGGAGAGGGGGAAGCTGGGCTGGAGTGGGTGGAAAGCATGCAGGAGAGGGGGAAGCGCGGCTGGAGTGGGTGGAAAGCATGCAGGAGAGGGGGAAGGGGGGCTGGAGTGGGTGGAAAGCATGCAGGAAAGGGGGAAGGGGGGCTGGAGTGGGTGGAAAGCATGCAGGAGAGTGGGAAGCGGGGCTGGAGTGAGTGGAAAGCATGCAGGAGAGGGGGAAGGGGGGATGGAGTGGGTTGAAAGCATGCAGGAGAGGGGGAAGGGGGGCTGGAGTGGGTGGAAAGCATGCAGGAGAGGGGGAAGGGGGGCTGGAGTGGGTGGAAAGCATGCAGGAGAGTGGGAAGGGGGGGCTGGAGTGGGTTGAAAGCATGCAGGAGAGGGGGAAGGGGGGCTGGAGTGGGTGGAAAGCATGCAGGAGAGGGGGAAGCGGGGCTGGAGTGGGTGGAAAGCATGCAGAAGAGTGGGAAGGGGGGCTGGAGTGGGTTGAAAGCATGCAGGAGAGGGGGAAGGGGGGCTGGAGTGGGTGGAAAGCATGCAGGAGAGGGGGAAGGGGGGCTGGAGTGGGTGGAAAGCATGCAGGAGAGTGGGAAGCGGTGCTGGAGTGAGTGGAAAGCATGCAGGAGAGGGGGAAGGGGGGCTGGAGTGGGTGGAAAGCATGCAGGAGAGTGGGAAGCGGTGCTGGAGTGAGTGGAAAGCATGCAGGAGAGGGGGAAGCGCGGCTGGAGTGGGTGGAAAGCATGCAGGAGAGTGGGAAGGGGGGCTGGAGTGAGTGGAAAGCATGCACGAGAGGGGGAAGGGGGGATGGAGTGGGTGGAAAGCATGCAGGAGAGTGGGAAGCGGGGCTGGAGTGAGTGGAAAGCATGCAGGAGAGGGGGAAGGGGGGCTGGAGTGGGTGGAAAGCATGCAGGAGAGGGGGAAGCTGGGCTGGAGTGGGTGGAAAGCATGCAGGAGAGGGGGAAGGGGGGCTGGAGTGGGTGGAAAGCATGCAGGAGAGGGGGAAGGGGGGCTGGAGTGGGTGGAAAGCATGCAGGAGAGTGGGAAGCGCGGCTGGAGTGAGTGGAAAGCATGCAGGAGAGGGGGAAGGGGGGCTGGAGTGGGTGGAAAGCATGCAGGAGAGGGGGAAGGGGGGCTGGAGTGGGTGGAAAGCATGCAGGAGAGGGGGAAGGGGGGCTGGAGTGGGTGGAAAGCATGCAGGAGAGGGGGAAGCGGGGCTGGAGTGGGTGGAAAGCATGCAGGAGAGTGGGAAGGGGGGCTGGAGTGGGTGGAAAGCATGCAGAAGAGTGGGAAGCGGTGCTGGAGTGAGAAAAAAGCATGCAGGAGAGGGGGAAGCGCGGCTGGAGTGGGTGGAAAGCATGCAGGAGAGTGGGAAGGGGGGCTGGAGGGAGTGGAAATCATGCAGGAGAGGGGGAAGGGGGGATGGAGTGGGTGGAAAGCATGCAGGAGAGTGGGAAGCGGGGCTGGAGTGAGTGGAAAGCATGCAGGAGAGGGGGAAGGGGGGCTGGAGTGGGTGGAAAGCATGCAGGAGAGGGGGAAGGGGGGCTGGAGTGGGTGGAAAGCATGCAGGAGAGGGGGAAGGGGGGCTGGAGTGGGTGGAAAGCATGCAGGAGAGGGGGAAGCGGGGCTGGAGTGGGTGGAAAGCATGCAGGAGAGTGGGATGGGGGGCTGGAGTGGGTTGAAAGCATGCAGGAGAGGGGGAAGGGGGGCTGGAGTGGGTGGTAAGCATGCAGGAGAGGGGGAAGGGGGGCTGGAGTGGGTGGAAAGCATGCAGGAGAGTGGGAAGCGGTGCTGGAGTGAGTGGAAAGCATGCAGGAGAGGGGGAAGCGCGGCTGGAGTGGGTGGAAAGCATGCAGGAGAGGGGGAAGCGGGGCTGGAGTGAGTGGAAAGCATGCAGGAGAGGGGGAAGGGGGGATGGAGTGAGTGGAAAGCATGCAGGAGAGGGGGAAGGGGGGATGGAGTGAGTGGAAAGCATGCAGGAGAGGGGGAAGGGGGGCTGGAGTGGGTGGAAAGCATGCAGGAGAGTGGGAAGCGGTGCTGGAGTGAGTAGAAAGCATGCAGGAGAGGGGGAAGCGCGGCTGGAGTGGGTGGAAAGCATGCAGGAGAGGGGGAAGTGGGGCTGGAGTGAGTGGAAAGCATGCAGGAGAGGGGGAAGGGGGGCTGGAGTGGGTGGAAAGCATGCAGGAGAGGGGGAAGGGGGGCTGGAGTGGGTGGAAAGCATGCAGGAGAGGGGGAAGCGGGGCTGGAGTGGGTGGAAAGCATGCAGGAGAGTGGGAAGGGGGGCTGGAGTGGGTGGAAAGCATTTTGGAGAGGGGGAAGGGGGGCTGGAGTGGGTGGAAAGCATGCAGAAGAGGGGGAAAGGGGGCTGGAGTGGGTGGAAAAACATTTTGGAGAGGGGGAAGGGGGGCTGGAGTGGGTGGAAAGCATTTTGGAGAGGGGGAAGGGGGGCTGGAGTGGGTGGAAAGCATGCAGGAGAGGGGGAAGGGGGGCTGAAGTGGGTGGAAAAGCATTTTGGAGAGGGGGAAGGGGGGCTGGAGTGGGTGGAAAGCATGCAGGAGAGGGGGAAAGGGGGCTGGAGTGGGTGGAAAGCATGCAGGAGAGGGGGCAGCGCAGCTGGAGTGAGTGGAAAGCATGCAGGAGTGGGGGAAGCGCGGCTGGAGTGAGTGGAAAGCATGCAGGAGAGGGGGAAGGGGGGCTGGAGTGGGTGGAAAGCATGCAGGAGAGGGGGAAGGGGGGCTGGAGTGGGTGGAAAGCATGCAGGAGAGGGGGAAGGGGGGCTGGAGTGGGTGGAAAGCATGCAGGAGAGGGGGAAGCGGGGCTGGAGTGGGTGGAAAGCATGCAGGAGAGTGGGAAGGGGGGCTGGAGTGGGTTGAAAGCATGCAGGAGAGGGGGAAGGGGGGCTGGAGTGGGTGGAAAGCATGCAGGAGAGGGGGAAGGGGGGCTCGAGTGGGTGGAAAGCATGCAGGAGAGTGGGAAGCGGTGCTGGAGTGGGTAGAACGCATGCAGGAGAGGGGGAAGGGGGGCTGGAGTGGGTGGAAAGCATGCAGGAGAGTGGGAAGCGGTGCTGGAGTGAGTGGAAAGCATGCAGGAGAGGGGGAAGCGCGGCTGGAGTGGGTGGAAAGCATGCAGGAGAGGGGGAAGCGGGGCTGGAGTGAGTGGAAAGCATGCAGGAGAGGGGGAAGGGGGGATGGAGTGAGTGGAAAGCATGCAGGAGAGGGGGAAGGGGGGATGGAGTGAGTGGAAAGCATGCAGGAGAGGGGGAAGGGGGGCTGGAGTGGGTGGAAAGCATGCAGGAGAGTGGGAAGCGGTGCTGGAGTGAGTGGAAAGCATGCAGGAGAGGGGGAAGCGCGGCTGGAGTGGGTGGAAAGCATGCAGGAAAAGGGGAAGCGGGGCTGGAGTGAGTGGAAAGCATGCAGGAGAGGGGGAAGGGGGGCTGGAGTGGGTGGAAAGCATGCAGGAGAGGGGGAAGGGGGGCTGGAGTGGGTGGAAAGCATGCAGGAGAGGGGGAAGCGCGGCTGGAGTGGGTGGAAAGCATGCAGGAGAGGGGGAAGGGGGGCTGGAGTGGGTGGAAAGCATGCAGGAAAGGGGGAAGGGGGGCTGGAGTGGGTGGAAAGCATGCAGGAGAGTGGGAAGGGGGGCTGGAGTGGGTGGAAAGCATGCAGGAGAGTGGGAAGGGGGGCTGGAGTGGGTTGAAAGCATGCAGGAGAGGGGGAAGGGGGCTGGAGTGGGTGGAAAGCATGCAGGAGAGGGGGAAGGGGGGCTGGAGTGGGTGGAAAGCATGCAGGAGAGTGGGAAGCGGTGCTGGAGTGAGTGGAAAGCATGCAGGAGAGGGGGAAGGGGGGCCGGAGTGAGTGGAAAGCATGCACGAGAGGGGGAAGGGGGGCGGGAGTGGGCGGAAAGCATGCAGGAGAGGGGGAAGGGGGGCTGGAGTGGGTGGAAAGCATGCAGGAGAGGGGGAAGGGGGGATGGAGTGGGTGGAAAGCATGCAGGAGAGTGGGAAGCGGGGCTGGAGTGAGTGGAAAGCATGCAGGAGAGGGGGAAGGGGGGCTGGAGTGGGTGGAAAGCATGCAGGAGAGGGGGAAGGGGGGCTGGAGTGGGTGGAAAGCATGCAGGAGAGGGGGAAGGGGGGCTGGAGTGGGTGGAAAGCATGCAGGAGAGGGGGAGGGGGGGATGGAGTGGGTGGAAAGCATGCAGGAGAGTGGGAAGCGGGGCTGGAGTGAGTGGAAAGCATGCAGGAGAGGGGGAAGGGGGGCTGGAGTGGGTGGAAAGCATGCAGGAGAGGGGGAAGGGGGGCTGGAGTGGGTGGAAAGCATGCAGGAGAGGGGGAAGGGGGGCTGGAGTGAGTGGAAAGCATGCAGGAGAGGGGGAAGGGGGGATGGAGTGGGTGGAAAGCATGCAGGAGAGTGGGAAGGGGGGCTGGAGTGGGTGGAAAGCATGCAGGAGAGGGGGAAGGGGGGCTGGAGTGGGTGGAAAGCATGCAGGAGAGGGGGAGGGGGGGATGGAGTGGGTGGAAAGCATGCAGGAGAGTGGGAAGCGGGGCTGGAGTGAGTGGAAAGCATGCAGGAGAGGGGGAAGGGGGGCTGGAGTGGGTGGAAAGCATGCAGGAGAGGGGGAAGCTGGGCTGGAGTGGGTGGAAAGCATGCAGGAGAGGGGGAAGGGGGGCTGGAGTGGGTGGAAAGCATGCAGGAGAGGGGGAAGGGGGGCTGGAGTGGGTGGAAAGCATGCAGGAGAGGGGGAAGCGCGGCTGGAGTGGGTGGAAAGCATGCAGGAGAGGGGGAAGGGGGGCTGGAGTGGGTGGAAAGCATGCAGGAAAGGGGGAAGGGGGGCTGGAGTGGGTGGAAAGCATGCAGGAGAGTGGGAAGGGGGGCTGGAGTGGGTGGAAAGCATGCAGGAGAGTGGGAAGGGGGGCTGGAGTGGGTTGAAAGCATGCAGGAGAGGGGGAAGGGGGCTGGAGTGGGTGGAAAGCATGCAGGAGAGGGGGAAGGGGGGCTGGAGTGGGTGGAAAGCATGCAGGAGAGTGGGAAGCGGTGCTGGAGTGAGTGGAAAGCATGCAGGAGAGGGGGAAGGGGGGCCGGAGTGAGTGGAAAGCATGCACGAGAGGGGGAAGGGGGGCGGGAGTGGGCGGAAAGCATGCAGGAGAGGGGGAAGGGGGGCTGGAGTGGGTGGAAAGCATGCAGGAGAGGGGGAAGGGGGGATGGAGTGGGTGGAAAGCATGCAGGAGAGTGGGAAGCGGGGCTGGAGTGAGTGGAAAGCATGCAGGAGAGGGGGAAGGGGGGCTGGAGTGGGTGGAAAGCATGCAGGAGAGGGGGAAGGGGGGCTGGAGTGGGTGGAAAGCATGCAGGAGAGGGGGAAGGGGGGCTGGAGTGGGTGGAAAGCATGCAGGAGAGGGGGAGGGGGGGATGGAGTGGGTGGAAAGCATGCAGGAGAGTGGGAAGCGGGGCTGGAGTGAGTGGAAAGCATGCAGGAGAGGGGGAAGGGGGGCTGGAGTGGGTGGAAAGCATGCAGGAGAGGGGGAAGGGGGGCTGGAGTGGGTGGAAAGCATGCAGGAGAGGGGGAAGGGGGGCTGGAGTGAGTGGAAAGCATGCAGGAGAGGGGGAAGGGGGGATGGAGTGGGTGGAAAGCATGCAGGAGAGTGGGAAGGGGGGCTGGAGTGGGTGGAAAGCATGCAGGAGAGGGGGAAGGGGGGCTGGAGTGGGTGGAAAGCATGCAGGAGAGGGGGAGGGGGGGATGGAGTGGGTGGAAAGCATGCAGGAGAGTGGGAAGCGGGGCTGGAGTGAGTGGAAAGCATGCAGGAGAGGGGGAAGGGGGGCTGGAGTGGGTGGAAAGCATGCAGGAGAGGGGGAAGGGGGGCTGGAGTGAGTGGAAAGCATGCAGGAGAGGGGGAAGGGGGGATGGAGTGGGTGGAAAGCATGCAGGAGAGTGGGAAGGGGGGCTGGAGTGGGTGGAAAGCATGCAGGAGAGGGGGAAGGGGGGCTGGAGTGGGTGGAAAGCATGCAGGAGAGGGGGAGGGGGGGATGGAGTGGGTGGAAAGCATGCAGGAGAGTGGGAAGCGGGGCTGGAGTGAGTGGAAAGCATGCAGGAGAGGGGGAAGGGGGGCTGGAGTGGGTGGAAAGCATGCAGGAGAGGGGGAAGGGGGGATGGAGTGGGTGGAAAGCATGCAGGAGAGTGGGAAGCGGGGCTGGAGTGAGTGGAAAGCATGCAGGAGAGGGGGAAGGGGGCTGGAGTGGGTGGAAAGCATGCAGGAGAGGGGGAAGGGGGGCTGGAGTGGGTGGAAAGCATGCAGGAGAGTGGGAAGCGGTGCTGGAGTGAGTGGAAAGCATGCAGGAGAGGGGGAAGGGGGGCCGGAGTGAGTGGAAAGCATGCAGGAGAGGGGGAAGGGGGGCGGGAGTGGGCGGAAAGCATGCAGGAGAGGGGGAAGGGGGGCTGGAGTGGGTGGAAAGCATGCAGGAGAGGGGGAAGGGGGGATGGAGTGGGTGGAAAGCATGCAGGAGAGTGGGAAGCGGGGCTGGAGTGAGTGGAAAGCATGCAGGAGAGGGGGAAGGGGGGCTGGAGTGGGTGGAAAGCATGCAGGAGAGGGGGAAGGGGGGCTGGAGTGGGTGGAAAGCATGCAGGAGAGGGGGAAGGGGGGCTGGAGTGGGTGGAAAGCATGCAGGAGAGGGGGAGGGGGGGATGGAGTGGGTGGAAAGCATGCAGGAGAGTGGGAAGCGGGGCTGGAGTGAGTGGAAAGCATGCAGGAGAGGGGGAAGGGGGGCTGGAGTGGGTGGAAAGCATGCAGGAGAGGGGGAAGGGGGGCTGGAGTGGGTGGAAAGCATGCAGGAAAGGGGGAAGGGGGGCTGGAGTGAGTGGAAAGCATGCAGGAGAGGGGGAAGGGGGGATGGAGTGGGTGGAAAGCATGCAGGAGAGTGGGAAGGGGGGCTGGAGTGGGTGGAAAGCATGCAGGAGAGGGGGAGGGGGGGATGGAGTGGGTGGAAAGCATGCAGGAGAGTGGGAAGCGGGGCTGGAGTGAGTGGAAAGCATGCAGGAGAGGGGGAAGGGGGGCTGGAGTGGGTGGAAAGCATGCAGGAGAGGGGGAAGGGGGGATGGGGTGGGTGGAAAGCATGCAGGAGAGTGGGAAGCGGGGCTGGAGTGAGTGGAAAGCATGCAGGAGAGGGGGAAGGGGGGCTGGAGTGGGTGGAAAGCATGCAGGAGAGGGGGAAGGGGGGATGGAGTGGGTGGAAAGCATGCAGGAGAGGGGGAAGGGGGGCTGGAGTGGGTTGAAAGCATGCAGGAGAGGGGGAATGGGGGCTGGAGTGTGTGGAAAGCATGCAGGAGAGGGGGAAGGGGGGCTGGAGTGGGTGGAAAGCATGCAGGAGAGTGGGAAGCGGTGCTGGAGTGAGTGGAAAGCATGCAGGAGAGGGGGAAGGGGGGCCGGAGTGAGTGGAAAGCATGCAGGAGAGGGGGAAGGGGGGCTGGAGTGGGTGGAAAGCATGCAGGAGAGGGGGAAGGGGGGCTGGAGTGGGTGGAAAGCATGCAGGAGAGGGGGAAGGGGGGATGGAGTGGGTGGAAAGCATGCAGGAGAGTGGGAAGCGGGGCTGGAGTGAGTGGAAAGCATGCAGGAGAGGGGGAAGGGGGGCTGGAGTGGGTGGAAAGCATGCAGGAGAGGGGGAAGGGGGGCTGGAGTGGCTGGAAAGCATGCAGGAGAGGGGGAAGGGGGGATGGAGTGGGTTGAAAGCATGCAGGAGAGGGGGAAGGGGGGCTGGAGTGAGTGGAAAGCATGCAGGAGAGGGGGAAGGGGGGCTGGAGTGGGTGGAAAGCATGCAGGAGAGGGGGAAGGGGGGCTGGAGTGGGTGGAAAGCATGCAGGAGAGGGGGAAGGGGGGCTGGAGTGGGTTGAAAGCATGCAGGAGAGGGGGAAGGGGGGCTGGAGTGAGTGGAAAGCATGCAGGAGAGGGGGAAGGGGGGATGGAGTGGGTGGAAAGCATGCAGGAGAGTGGGAAGCGGGGCTGGAGTGGGTGGAAAGCATGCAGGAGAGGGGGAAGGGGGGCTGGAGTGGGTGGAAAGCATGCAGGAGAAGGGGGAGCGCGGCTGGAGTGGGTTGAAAGCATGCAGGAGAGGGGGAAGGGGTGCTGGAGTGGGTGGAAAGCATGCAGGAGAGGGGGAAGGGGGGCTGGAGTGGGTTGAAAGCATGCAGGAGAGTGGGAAGGGGGGCTGGAGTGAGTGGAAAGCATGCAGGAGAGGGGGAAGGGGGGCTGGAGTGGGTTGAAAGCATGCAGGAGAGTGGGAAGCGGTGCTGGAGTGAGTGGAAAGCATGCAGGAGAGGGGGAAGGGGGGCTGGAGTGGGTGGAAAGCATGCAGGAGAGGGGGAAGGGGGGCTGGAGTGGGTTGAAAGCATGCAGGAGAGTGGGAAGCGGTGCTGGAGTGAGTGGAAAGCATGCAGGAGAGGGGGAAGGGGGGCTGGAGTGAGTGGAAAGCATGCAGGAGAGGGGGAAGGGGGGCTGCAGTGGGTGGAAAGCATGCAGGAGAGGGGGAAGGGGGGCTGCAGTGGATGGAAAGCATGCAGGAGAGAGGGAAGGGGGGCTGGAGTGGGTGGAAAGCATGCAGGAGAGTGGGAAGGGGGGCTGGAGTGGGTGGAAAGCATGCAGGAGAGGGGGAAGGGGGGCTGGAGTGGGTGGAAAGCATGCAGGAGAGGGGGAAGGGGGGCTGGAGTGAGTGGAAAGCATGCAGGAGAGGGGGAAGGGGGGCTGGAGTGGGTTGAAAGCATGCAGGAGAGGGGGAAGGGGGGCTGGAGTGGGTGGAAAGCATGCAGGAGAGGGGGAAGGGGGGCTGGAGTGGGTGGAAAGCATGCAGGAGAGGGGGAAGGGGGGATGGAGTGGGTGGAAAGCATGCAGGAGAGTGGGAAGCGGGGCTGGAGTGAGTGGAAAGCATGCAGGAGAGGGGGAAGGGGGGCTGGAGTGGGTGGAAAGCATGCAGGAGAGGGGGAAGGGGGGCTGGAGTGGGTGGAAAGCATGCAGGAGAGGGGGAAGGGGGGATGGAGTGGGTGGAAAGCATGCAGGAGAGTGGGAAGCGGGGCTGGAGTGAGTGGAAAGCATGCAGGAGAGGGGCAAGGGGGGCTGGAGTGGGTGGAAAGCATGCAGGAGAGGGGGAAGGGGGGCTGGAGTGGGTGGAAAGCATGCAGGAGAGGGGGAAGGGGGGCTGGAGTGAGTGGAAAGCATGCAGGAGAGGGGGAAGGGGGGATGGAGTGGGTGGAAAGCATGCAGGAGAGTGGGAAGCGGGGCTGGAGTGGGTGGAAAGCATGCAGGAGAGGGGGAAGGGGGGCTGGAGTGGGTGGAAAGCATGCAGGAGAAGGGGGAGCGCGGCTGGAGTGGGTTGAAAGCATGCAGGAGAGGGGGAAGGGGTGCTGGAGTGGGTGGAAAGCATGCAGGAGAGGGGGAAGGGGGGCTGGAGTGGGTTGAAAGCATGCAGGAGAGTGGGAAGCGGTGCTGGAGTGAGTGGAAAGCATGCAGGAGAGGGGGAAGGGGGGCTGGAGTGAGTGGAAAGCATGCAGGAGAGGGGGAAGGGGGGCTGCAGTGGGTGGAAAGCATGCAGGAGAGGGGGAAGGGGGGCTGCAGTGGATGGAAAGCATGCAGGAGAGGGGGAAGGGGGGCTGGAGTGGGTGGAAAGCATGCAGGAGAGGGGGAAGGGGGGCTGGAGTGGGTGGAAAGCATGCAGGAGAGGGGGAAGGGGGGATGGAGTGGGTGGAAAGCATGCAGGAGAGTGGGAAGCGGGGCTGGAGTGAGTGGAAAGCATGCAGGAGAGGGGGAAGGGGGGCTGGAGTGGGTGGAAAGCATGCAGGAGAGGGGGAAGGGGGGCTGGAGTGGGTGGAAAGCATGCAGGAGAGTGGGAAGCGGTGCTGGAGTGAGTGGAAAGCATGCAGGAGAGGGGGAAGGGGGCCTGGAGTGAGTGGAAAGCATGCAGGAGAGGGGGAAGGGGGGCCGGAGTGAGTGGAAAGCATGCAGGAGAGGGGGAAGGGGGGCTGGAGTGGGTGGAAAGCATGCAGGAGAGGGGGAAACGGGGCTGGATTGAGTGGAAAGCATGCAGGAGAGGGGGAAGCGGGGCTGGAGTGGGTGGAAAGCATGCAGGAGAGGGGGAAGGGGGGCTGGAGTGGGTGGAAAGCATGCAGGAGAGGGGGAAGGGTGGCTGGAGTCGGTGGAAAGCATGCAGGAGAGGGGGGAGCGCGGCTGGAGTGAGTGGAAAGCATGCAGGAGAGGGGGAAGGGGGGCTGGAGTGAGTGGAAAGCATGCAGGAGAGGGGGAAGGGGGGCTGGAGTGAGTGGAAAGCATGCAGGAGAGGGGGAAGGGGGGCTGCAGTGGGTTGAAAGCATGCAGGAGAGGGGGAAGGGGGGCTGGAGTGGGTGGAAAGCATGCAGGAGAGGGGGAAGGGGGGCTGGAGTGGGTGGAGAGCATGCAGGAGAGGGGGAAGGGGGGCTGGAGTGAGTGGAAAGCATGCAGGAGAGGGGGAAGGGGGGCTGGAGTGGGTTGAAAGCATGCAGGAGAGGGGGAAGGGGGGCTGGAGTGGGTGGAAAGCATGCAGGAGAGGGGGAAGGGGGGCTGGAGTGGGTGGAAAGCATGCAGGAGAGTGGGAAGCGGTGCTGGAGTGAGTGGAAAGCATGCAGGAGAGGGGGAAGGGGGCCTGGAGTGAGTGGAAAGCATGCAGGAGAGGGGGAAGGGGGGCCGGAGTGAGTGGAAAGCATGCAGGAGAGGGGGAAGGGGGGCTGGAGTGGGTGGAAAGCATGCAGGAGAGGGGGAAACGGGGCTGGATTGAGTGGAAAGCATGCAGGAGAGGGGGAAGCGGGGCTGGAGTGGGTGGAAAGCATGCAGGAGAGGGGGAAGGGGGGCTGGAGTGGGTGGAAAGCATGCAGGAGAGTGGGAAGCGGTGCTGGAGTGAGTGGAAAGCATGCAGGAGAGGGGGAAGGGGGGCCGGAGTGAGTGGAAAGTATGCAGGAGAGGGGGAAGGGGGGCTGGAGTGGGTGGAAAGCATGCAGGAGAGGGGGAAGGGGGGCTGGAGTGGGTGGAAAGCATGCAGGAGAGGGGGAAGGGGGGATGGAGTGGGTGGAAAGCATGCAGGAGAGTGGGAAGCGGGGCTGGAGTGAGTGGAAAGCATGCAGGAGAGGGTGAAGGGGGGCTGGAGTGGGTGGAAAGCATGCAGGAGAGGGGAAAGGGGGGATGGAGTGGGTGGAAAGCATGCAGGAGAGTGGGAAGCGGGGCTGGAGTGAGTGGAAAGCATGCAGGAGAGGGGGAAGGGGGGCTGGAGTGGGTGGAAAGCATGCAGGAGAGGGGGAAGGGGGGCTGGAGTGGGTGGAAAGCATGCAGGAGAGGGGGAAGGGGGGCTGGAGTGAGAGGAAAGCATGCAGGAGAGGGGGAAGGGGGGATGGAGTGGGTGGAAAGCATGCAGGAGAGTGGGAAGCGGGGCTGGAGTGGGTGGAAAGCATGCAGGAGAGGGGGAAGGGGGGCTGGAGTGGGTGGAAAGCATGCAGGAGAAGGGGGAGCGCGGCTGGAGTGGGTTGAAAGCATGCAGGAGAGGGGGAAGGGGTGCTGGAGTGGGTGGAAAGCATGCAGGAGAGGGGGAAGGGGGGCTGGAGTGGGTTGAAAGCATGCAGGAGAGTGGGAAGCGGTGCTGGAGTGAGTGGAAAGCATGCAGGAGAGGGGGAAGGGGGGCTGGAGTGAGTGGAAAGCATGCAGGAGAGGGGGAAGGGGGGCTGCAGTGGGTGGAAAGCATGCAGGAGAGGGGGAAGGGGGGCTGCAGTGGATGGAAAGCATGCAGGAGAGGGGGAAGGGGGGCTGGAGTGGGTGGAAAGCATGCAGGAGAGGGGGAAGGGGGGCTGGAGTGGGTGGAAAGCATGCAGGAGAGGGGGAAGGGGGGCTGGAGTGGGTGGAAAGCATGCAGGAGAGGGGGAAGGGGGGCTGGAGTGAGTGGAAAGCATGCAGGAGAGGGGGAAGGGGGGCTGGAGTGGGTTGAAAGCATGCAGGAGAGGGGGAAGGGGGGCTGGAGTGGGTGGAAAGCATGCAGGAGAGGGGGAAGGGGGGCTGGAGTGGGTGGAAAGCATGCAGGAGAGTGGGAAGCGGTGCTGGAGTGAGTGGAAAGCATGCAGGAGAGGGGGAAGGGGGCCTGGAGTGAGTGGAAAGCATGCAGGAGAGGGGGAAGGGGGGCCGGAGTGAGTGGAAAGCATGCAGGAGAGGGGGAAGGGGGGCTGGAGTGGGTGGAAAGCATGCAGGAGAGGGGGAAACGGGGCTGGATTGAGTGGAAAGCATGCAGGAGAGGGGGAAGCGGGGCTGGAGTGGGTGGAAAGCATGCAGGAGAGGGGGAAGGGGGGCTGGAGTGGGTGGAAAGCATGCAGGAGAGGGGGAAGGGTGGCTGGAGTCGGTGGAAAGCATGCAGGAGAGGGGGGAGCGCGGCTGGAGTGAGTGGAAAGCATGCAGGAGAGGGGGAAGGGGGGCTGGAGTGAGTGGAAAGCATGCAGGAGAGGGGGAAGGGGGGCTGGAGTGAGTGGAAAGCATGCAGGAGAGGGGGAAGGGGGGCTGCAGTGGGTGGAAAGCATGCAGGAGAGGGGGAAGGGGGGCTGGAGTGGGTGGAAAGCATGCAGGAGAGGGGGAAGGGGGGCTGGAGTGAGTGGAAAGCATGCAGGAGAGGGGGAAGGGGGGCTGGAGAGGGTGGATTCGGCGGCAGTGAGAAGAAATGGCATATCCATACGACCGGGAATGCACCTGCAAAACTTGCGTGTTGATGCCTGCCCATCTGAGTCGCAGAACCATCGCACTCATGGCAGGTTCACCAACAGTCAAGACGTAGCTCCAAAACACTGAGTCGGTGATGTCCCCCAGGACCATCTTCTTGTGGGTCTTAGTAAGCACCCTCCGGCCAGCCAGGCATGCCTGTCACCGTGGAGAGGAGAGGGTTGGTATAGGGAGGGGGAGGGTTGTATGGTGAGTCCTTTTGGAGGGAGGAGGAGGGGGGGGGATAGGGGATTGATGCGAGGTGTAGGCGAAGAAGGGAAAGGCCACGAAGGGGGAATGGGTGTGGGGGAAAGGGGGAGAGGTTGTGGGGACGAAGAAGGTTATGGGGGGGTAGGAATCGATTACTTTGGTTAGGTTGGTCCTAAATGTGATTGCCAACTCATGCAGAGAGCATGGAAACAGAAGTGCGGGCAAAGAGACGAGCGAACAGAACGTGGCACAGAGCAGGGCAGACACAGAAGTGAACAAATCTGGGAAACAGTGAAGGGAACAGAGCGGGGCACATAGCAGGGCAGAGACAGAAGTGAACAAATCAGGGAAACAGTGAAGGGAACAGAGCGGGGCACATAGCAGGGCAGACACAGAAGTGAACGAATCAGGGAAACAGTGAAGGGAACAGAGCGGGGCACAGAGCAGGGCAGACACAGAAGTGAACAAATCAGGGAAACGGTGAAGGGAACAGATCAGGGCACAGAGCAGGGCAGACACAGAACGGAACATGGCAGGGTAACAGCGCAGGGAACAGAGCAGGGAAACAGAACAGGGCACCGAGTAGGGGAGACCCAGCATGGAACATAGCAGGGTAACAGAGCGGATAACAAAGAAGGGGAAATGACGAGGGGAACAGAGCAGTGTGAGAGAGCAAGAAGGCCGAGCAGGGAAAAAGAGCAGGGGGGGAGAGCATGAGACCCGAGCAGCGAAACAGAGCAGGAAAGAGCATGAGAACCGAGCAGGGAAACAGGGCAGGGGAGAGAGCATGAGAACCGAGCAGGGAAACAGGGCAGGGGAGAGAGCATGAGAACCGAGCTGGGGCAAACTGAACATGGCACAGAGCAGGGCAGACACATAAGGGAGCATAGCAGGGAAACTGAAGGGAATACAGCAGGGCACAAAGCAGGGCAGACACAGAACGGAACATGGTAGAGGATAACAGTGCAGGGAACAGAGCGGGGAAGACACAGTAGGGAACACAGCTGGGAAACAGAGCAGATAACAAAGAAGGGGAAATGACTTGAGGAACGGGGTAGGGGGAGAGAGAAGGAGAACCGAGCAGGGAAACAGAGCAGGGGGAGAGAGCAAGAGAACCGAGCAGGGAAACAGAGCAGCGGAACAGAGGAGGGGAACCGAGCAAGAGAACAGAGCATGGCATCACTTCAGGAGATCACAGCATGGGATTAAAATAGGGAAACTAAGCAGACGACAGGGTGCAGGGGAACAGAGCAGGTTTGTAAAACTCACCTCTTTCATCGAGGTCTCGTACGTGCTGTCCCCTCCGGCCTCCCGCGCGAGTTGCCTAACTACCGCATGCTCCAGGTGTTTCCGGACGATTCGATCTTCAACATTCTTCCAGTTCGTGCCACGTGAAGGACGCTTCACAGTGGTCTTGTGGGAGTGCTCGTAGCAGTTTGACGAGTACTCGGCAGGGATCCCCCTCATACGGATGGTTGATGGGAGGTGAACGAGAAGATGAATCTTAACAATTTTCCACTTTGACTTCTGCTTAGGGAAAGCGACACGAAGAGCCTTCACCATCCTGGAGAAAATTTAGATTCAAGGCATGCAGTTAAGAGGGGGAATGCAGGCCGGGAAGGGAGAAACGGGATGCGGGAGGGGGAGTGAGGAAGCAGACATCGAAAACAGAAACACGGAAGGAGGGAGCAGGGAGGTGGGTTATGGAGGGACAGCGATGCAGTGCAGAGGGAGAAGATGGGCCTGGGAAACCACATAACAGACGGACTAATTACTTGATGGTGGCGTCTTTCATCCGTTCCAGAGATTCGTCGGTGTGGTACTCAGCGCGGATGAACTCCTTGTACCACTCGACCATCTTGACAATGGCCGTGCGGATATCATCTCGTCCTGGGAGGTTGATTATGAGGGGCAGGACCTGCATCATCGCCCGATGCTCTGCAGCTGAAAAGCAGGCAGTGGATGTGAAGTAGGCCCACGCCGAAGGAAGACGTAGCACGGAAGCTGGTGTGGCCTCCTTCAAAATCTTGTATCGCCTAGGCGTGAGTAACAGTTAGTCAGAGCACGGAAAGCAAGCACGGAGGGGTGTAGCATGAAGCAGGGCGCAGAAAGCAAGCACGGAGGGGAGTAGCATGAAGCAGGGCGCGGAAAGCAAGCACGGAGGGGAGTAGCATGAAGCAGGGCGCGGAACAACTCACTCCAGAAGAATCTTCCGTTCCCTCGGGGTCAGCTTCTTCACCAGGCACTTCATGGCATGCAGCCATATGCCGTGCTCCCAGATGTGCATGATGTCCGGGGGCACAGCAAAGTACGTGTTGCCCCAGAGAGTTTTTGCGAATTCCCAGTCCCACAAAAGGCTCTGCGTCGGGGGTCAAGGACACAAACTCACGATGGCGGGTCAGGATAATAAATACGAACAGCAAGATGCAGATCGGAGTAGGTTTTCGGGCACACTAGCCACAGCAGTATATGGTGGATACGGAGGGAAACCATATGAGAACCACAAGGATGCACGCGGAGCAAGCTGGGCAAGGCGCACCTTCACAAAGTGTGTAGAGGACTTCTTCTTCACCGCCTTCAGCTCCTTTTTGGTCTTCGCGGCTTTCATCTCCTTGTGAAAATCCTTCTGACCCTTGACAGTTCTAAGGACAATGGTGTCTTCCTGCTTCTTTTTGGTTTCCGCAGATTCCTTCTGACCCTCAACATTTCTGGGGACAATGGTCTCATCTCATCCTGCTCATCCGGGCGCTTCTTATCAGTTGGCTGTTGAGTCAACTCAAAGTTCATCTCATCCAGGCCCTCCTTTTCAGCCAAGCACAACGAGCACGAATGGTGTGAGTTGCATGCCATCGTACAGGTGATCTTAGAAGACTCCGGGTGATCGGCCACCCATGAATAAAGGAGCGTGAATGCTCTATACTGCACGCCGGCACTGTCTTCCACCATCACACCGCCCCTGCACAGCCGCCAGGATGAGGGGTAAAGCAGGGGGGGGTATGGCGAGGATGGGAGACCATGTTAGATATGTCACTGATGGTGTGAGCATGGGTTGCTGTAAGCAAGCAGATGAAGGACGGTTAGGAGGAGGGGGACAGCAAGCAGGGATGGTTTCAACGGCAGGAGACGGCGGTACGGGAGGAACCCGAATGGTATTAGGTGAAGCATGGTGGCTGGGAGCAGAGTACTTTCGACTGAATCCGTGGATTTTGGAGAGTACAAGGGATGCGCGCCTTTGGACGAGAGTAGCAGTGTCTCACCCTGAAAGATGTGAAGCCGCCTTTAAATCTCGAATCATGATCTCTGCAGCGTCCTGGAACACTCGAACCTTCTCTTCTGGCGAGAGGTCAGCTGGGATGTTAGGCAGGAGCCCGAGAAGCTCAGTGCCTCCTTCAAGCCACCTAGCCCATTCAGGAATGTTCCCAAAGGACAACAGAAATGGGTGGGCAGATTGGCGCCCATTGTAGGATAGATTGGTCTGGTCTGAGAACAAAATGAGAGCTATAACCATGCCAAACTTCCGCACCCTTTCCTGCCACAGTGATGATAAAGGGAAGGAAAGACGAATTGGATCCTAGGTTTCAATGCTCGTGTCCAACGCGACATGAGATGGCATGGAACTTACCCAAGCCTCGAGCATCCAATCCGTCTTTGCAGGGGTACTGTAGCGGCGAACCCCATCAACCTTCCACTCTTGAGGCATGATGCTGAATCCCTAGACAGCCGACATCTTCTTGAACATGGACTGAAGGAGCTGATGGTGATAAGGATGGCAACAATGATGGAAAACAGAAGCGTAGGATTGATGGTTCCATTTGGACTGATGGTTTAGTCGGTCTCACAAAACACATTCCACTGTGACAAACGTGACCCCACACGCATGGATACACTCACAGTTATCGCGTTTCGGCGCTTGAAGGTGAGAAACCCAACCTCGTGATCCACTTCGATCTCCTCGACGATCCATTCATTCTCCACTCCAAGGTCAAAGCTGTTCTCGTACTTCTCCAGGTCCCTGTAGCTGTTCCAATCGTCCAGCTGCTTTGGATCTAATTTTGGGTGTCTAACTAACTGTATTGTGTCGTTTATCGCCCCGTTGGTAAGACCGTGAGATCGTGCCAAAATGCATATTTCCGCCTTAACATCAAGAATTTCCTCTGTAGGAGCTTCTTCCACCACGAGTGTGGTGCTGCACGTACGAACCGCATCAGGAACTCGCTCTGCCGGCTGCGGGTGCTGCTCTACTGCGTTCGGAAGTGCCGCTATGGGAATTGAATGCGCTGGCGCGGGAAGGGTGGTTGTTGCTAACGGAACAAAGGTATACTGCTTCTCCACGCCACGGTCTAGCTTCTTACGTTTAGCATCCTCTTCAGCCTTGCGTTTTTGGGCCCGCTTACAGCCGTCATGGTTAGCTTGATGGCTACTTACGTATTGATAGCAGTACACGCGCTTATTGCAGAACTCACAAGCCTGAGCCTCCATCGAGCAGATCTGTCCGTAAGACTGAAAGGGTGTTTGGCACACCAGTTTGATATGTGAATGCCAACACTGCAAAAGAATGAGATGGCGCCTGTCGAATGGACGATAGTTTACGAGGGAAGGGCTGGGCGTGAATACGAATTGGCGATCTGAGTCTGAACACCTGTTTCCATTGACCCTGATTGGCGATTGGTTATCGGGTGTCGGTAGTTGGTATGCAATTGGTTAGGGTTTGTGGCGTTCTGCTCGAATTTAGGTCACCTAGTTTGTTGGTGCGCGACCACGCGCAGTTGGGCGAGTGGGCCATGCGACTCTCATACTCCGCATATTGTAACTGTTGTCGCGTACAAAAACAGCTCTCTCGTTGCAGCAACCTGACGAAGTTTTGTACCGAGCTGGGAACATTTCCACTTGCGACATGGACCTGACATCAATTTGGCATACACGCCAATTGTGTCAGAAATACACAAGCCGCTCGAATGTCATTGGAGCAGAGAATCCTGTCAGACTTCTCCACACTGTTCACCATGTTGACAGGATATCACGAGCACGCTATTCGCTGACAACGTATGGGAGCAGGGATTTTGGCACAAAGTTGACCAACGAAAAGCAAGGGCGTGTGGGTCCTACTTCAGGAACTACAGTACCTGCTTCGACTTTGCGTTGAGCTGCCTGGGCAACGGAATTTCGACCCTTACCTAAGGCAAGATCCGGCTCAAACTGTGAGTTTACTATCTCAAGGTATGGAGGAGAAGGGCATACCCAAGTTATCGCGATGTCGTTTCCAGCACATCAGCATGCCATCCCCATTTGGGGGGGGGTGGCTTGAAATCAAGCCCTCAGATTACTGCACGTTGAGAAACGAGCAGTGGATCAGTGGCACGGTTATCGAGTGGCTATCATCGTGAGTAGCTTAAAACGCAAAGGTAATAGAAGTGGCGGCACCTTGATCAAATTTACTCACGCGCTACCGCGAGTTTCCACATTTCCATGGCGTTCCCGCAGGATGTTACTGTTGGAAGTCGGTGGGGGGCCAAGTGGTCCCCACTACACACCCCTCCAACCTTACCAAGTGGGGTTGGGTGGCGAGAGTTTGGGCGGAAGGGTGGCGGTGCACACAAGTCAAGGGTTGCACTTGGGTGGTAGCTAGAAACAAAACCATCGAGGGTTATTTGCAAGTGGGCGGAATGAACCAAACAAAAGCACAAACAAATGGCGCGATGTGATTGGTCCGACCCATTGCATTTGCAACTTGTGTGCATGGACGGAAATGTAAACGGAAAAGGACGTAACTCCTTTTCCGAAATTCCACCGTCAATTTTGCAATGGGGTGGGTTACGAAATTGCACGCGGCTCGGTTACAAATGCGGTTCGATTGCTCTAGTTATTGTGAGTTCTTTCTTGTTGAGTATAAAAACTCACTCGTCAACTAGAATTAGATACTCTCTGGAATGTTGTACCCAACCCTATATTATTCAAGCTACCGTTCTCATTTCTTGGGCGATCTTTGTGTTCTTTGGTGCTACGGATTCGTCACTCCAAGACCTATCCAGAAATAGCTCACACAAATTGTTTCATCAGGAATTGAGTTCAGGACGGCGTCTTAAAGTGGCCGGTTCTTCCTACATGGTTTCAGAGCTTAGGAATTCTCAAACGCTTGACGCCTAACTCTCCTTGTCGCCATGTCTTTGACTTCCTCGTCGACCTCTGAGGTCCCCCTTCGTCCTACCCCCAATGAGTCCTACTCCGCATCTACGACGATCGTCGACATGAGTGCGGTGCCATTGTTCAATGGCGAGCACTATGCATCATGGCGCTTCAAGTTGAAGGTGCACATGATGGAGCGTGAGCTTTGGGGCTTCTTCGACGGATCCGAAGTGAAGCCTCCAACCGCCTCGACAACGGAGCATGGAGCATGGGTGAAGAAGGACAAGAAGGCGTTCTCGTTTCTCGTGTCGAAGCTCGGACTTCAACTCGTGCCGGTGGTGAGCTCGTGCATCGACCTTGAAGGAGCTACACGTGAAGCTTTGAGGCGCCTCGAGAACATCCACGTGACGAAGTCTCTCCACGGCAAGTTGCAAGCGAGGAGGAACTTCTTCACCGTGCGCATCAAGGAGGGCGAACGCATGCGCGCGTACGTCAACCGCGTTGAGGAGCTTGGCGAACGAATGGTGGAGCTTGAAGCGGACGTGGATGAGAAGGATTGGATCATGACGCTTCTCGGAGGGCTCGGAGAGGAATGGTCAACCGTCATCACCACCCTTGACGGCACGCAAGCGACGTGGACCAAGGAGGGGGTGACGACGCGCCTCATCAACGAGGAGATGCGGTGGATCAACTTGAAAGGCGATTCAACGAGTTCGGCTCACTTCACGCGCGGCGCGAAAAAAGGCGTTGTCTACACCAAGCCACGGAATGACCGTGGGCATGCAAGTGGAAGCGTGAGCTCTTCACGTGGAGGACATGCCAACAACAACAACAACCGTGGTCATGCTCGTGAAGGAGCATGCTGGTATTGCAAGAAGCCCGGGCATTGGTGGCGCGAGTGTCGGAGCAAGCCAAGGGATTGGACTCCAACGTCTTTAATTCAAGAGGAGAGGCGCGCGAACGTGGTGACTTCGGGAGAAGACACCAAGGAGCTCGTGTTCATCGCGGGAGAAGGAGCTCTTGGCGGGCTCGCATGGCTTCTCGACACGGGCGCTACACAACACATGACGCCGCGCGCGGAGCTTCTTGAGGATGTCTCGGCGGATGCTCATATCAAGCGCGTGGTCTTCGGTAATCAAGACTCGCTTGAGGTGGAGGGACGCGGAACGTTGCGCATCGCGGTGGACGGCGGTCCAATGACAATCAACAACGTGTTGGTTGTGCCGGGACTCGGCGCCAACTTGCTCTCCGTGTCACAACTCACCACCAAGGGAATGCGTGTCAACATCGAAGGCGCGGTCATGACATTGAGCACGTCTTCCGGGCGCTTCATCGGCAAAGCGCATCAAGACGGCGGAATCTTCAAGCTCGTGGCTACACCGAACCTTGCGTCGGCGCACGCGGCGGTGGCAAAGCCTTCATTGGAGATGTGGCACAACCGCTACGGGCACTTGAGCGCGTCAACCATCCGCGCCATGGCAACTCAAGGCGTAGTGCACGGGATCGTCATCGACTCGTCAACAAACGAGGAGGTGGAGAAGTGTTCGGCGTGTCTTGAAGGGAAGATGGCGCGGAAGCCGTTTCCAACTCGCACGAAGCCTCTCGCCTCCAACCCGCTCGATCTCGTCCATACCGACTTGTGTGGACCAATCACCCCTATCTCTAAAGGGGGAGCGCGCTACATTCTCACTCTCCTCGACGACGCGACACGCATGGTGTGGGTCTACCTTCTCAAGGACAAAAGCGCGACTTCTACGACAATCAAGAAGTGGGTGGCGCTTGTTGAGACGGAGAAAGAAGGACAACTTGTGAAGCGGATTCGGTCGGATGGAGGAGGAGAGTACGTCAACAACGAGCTCGACGGGTGGTTCAAGGCGCGAGGAACCTTCCACGAAGTATCAGTTCCTCACTCACCTCAACAAAATGGAGCGGCGGAGCGCTTGAACCGCACCTTGGTTGAAGCGGTTAGGAGCATGCTTGCCCATGCTCATGCGGACAAGTCTTGGTGGGGTGAAGCGACAATGTTGGCAACTTGGATTCACAACCGAAGCTTGACCAAGACCTTGCCGAACGTGACACCCCTCGGGGTTTGGAGTGGCGACAAACCGGACGTCTCCAACCTCCGTACCTTCGGGTGCATTTGCTACTATCACGTTCCCGATGCTACACGCACCAAGCTTGAGGCGAAGGCGCGTGTGGGGATGTATTTGAGCCATAGCCTTGATCACAAGGGATGGCGGGTGTGGGACTTGGAGAGCGGAAAGGTGGTGGTGTCGCGCGACGTCTCATTCTTCGAGAACCGCTTCCCAACTTCACCAAAAGAGAAGCATTCGGTCGTGGTCATCCCTCCAACGGTTGAAGACACGAATGAGTCATCTTCTCACGATGTTCCCAAGGAGAGGAGTGTTCAAGACGAGGAGGGAGATGTTGTTGAAGTGGTTGGAGTGGAGAGTGAGAAGGATGGTGATCCTTCTACCGTCGTCGCTCCAACGCTTGCATCTACTCGCGCTCGAAGAACTCCTCGTCCGAACCCGAAGTACGCCGACTACTCGCTTGTGGTGGAGGATGATGAGGAAGGGGAAGATGCCATGTGCTTCATGGCCGACTTCACACCTACCACCTACCGTGAGGCGATGGAGACGCTCCAAGCCGGTAATTGGACTCAAGCACTCAATGGGGAGTACGAGTCCATTATTGAAAATGATGTCTATGATCTTGTCCCTTTGCCCCCAAATAGCTACACCGTTGGGTCCCGATGGGTCTTCAAGAAGAAGCTTGGGCCGAACGGTGAGGTGGAGCGATACAAGGCTCGCTTGGTGGCACAAGGGTACACGCAAAAGGCAGGGCTTCACTACAACGAGACCTTTGCACCGGTAGCAAAGTCTTCTTCCCTTCGTGTTCTCTTAGCTCTAGCGGGAGGACTTGATCTAGAGGTAGAACAACTTGATGTAAAAACCGCATTTTTATATGGCCACCTAGAGGAGGAGGTGTACATGAGGCAACCTCCGGGGTTTGAGGATGGGACGGGCCGTGTGTGCAAGTTGAAGCGCACCATCTACGGCTTGAAGCAAAGCCCTAGAGCATGGTACATGAGGATGGACAAGCACTTGCTTGAGTTGGGCTTCACTCGGAGTGAGTGTGATCACGCCCTGTACATCCTCAACCGTGGGGAGAAGAAGCTCGTCCTCCTTCTCTACGTGGACGACCTCCTCCTCGTTTCCGATTGCAAGGACCTTGTGGCGGAGATCAAGGCGAAGCTTGCATCGGAGTTCTCCATGCGCGACCTTGGTGCCGTGTCATACTACCTCGGCATGCACATCGACCGCGATCGGGCGCACAAGACTCTTCATCTTCACCAACACAAGTACTTGGAGGACGTGGTGGCTCGCTTCGGGATGAGCGAGAGCAAGCCGGCACCCACACCCATGGAGGTGGGGTTCCACCCTTTGGCTACAAGCGAGGAAGTCCCTATGGATCCCGAGAAGACCAAGCGCTTTCATTCCATAGTAGGCTCATGCATGTATGCCGCCGTGAGCACCCGTCCCGATCTCTCATTCACGGTTGGGCTACTTGGGAGAGTAGTCTCCAACCCCATGGTAGAGCATGAGCGTGCCTTGCGTCGTCTTCTTCGCTATGTTAGGGGCACTAGTCACCTAGGGCTCCACTATGAAGCCGGGCCGGTAGCACTCATTGGGTTCACGGATTCCGATTGGGCGGGGGATCCTTCCACTCGGCAAAGCACCTCGGGCCTTGTCTTCACGCTCCTTGGGGGGGCGGTGGCTTGGCAAAGCAAGAGGCAAAACTTGATTGCCCTTAGCTCAACCGAGGCCGAGTATGTTGCTCTCAACCGTGGTGGTACCGAGGCCGTGTGGTTGAGGCGTCTCCTAGCCGAGCTAGGATACGAACAAGAGGGACCCACGCCGATCTACGTGGACAACCAAGCGGCAATCAACCTTGCCAAGAACTCGGTCCTTCATGGAAGGACCAAGCACATCCAAATTCGTCATCACTTCATCCGCAAGCTCGTCGAAGATAAGGAGGTGGAGCTACGCTACGTGAAGACTAACGCTCAATCCACGGACTTCCTCACCAAACCTTTGCCTAAGGATACCTTTCATGCATGTTGTGCTAGGGTAGGCTTGTATGCATAGGTGCTTGTGGGGACCAAGGGGGAGTGTTGGAAGTCGGTGGGGGGCCAAGTGGTCCCCACTACACACCCCTCCAACCTTACCAAGTGGGGTTGGGTGGCGAGAGTTTGGGCGGAAGGGTGGCGGTGCACACAAGTCAAGGGTTGCACTTGGGTGGTAGCTAGAAACAAAACTATCGAGGGTTATTTGCAAGTGGGCGGAATGAACCAAACAAAAGCACAAACAAATGGCGCGATGTGATTGGTCCGACCCATTACATTTGCAACTTGTGTGCATGGACGGAAATGTAAACGGAAAAGGACGTAACTCCTTTTCCGAAATTCCACCGTCAATTTTGCAATGGGGTGGGTTACGAAATTGCACGCGGCTCGGTTACAAATGCGGTTCGATTGCTCTAGTTATTGTGAGTTCTTTCTTGTTGAGTATAAAAACTCACTCGTCAACTAGAATTAGATACTCTCTGGAATGTTGTACCCAGCCCTATATTATTCAAGCTACCGTTCTCATTTCTTGGGCGATCTTTGTGTTCTTTGATGCTACGGATTCGTCACTCCAAGACCTATCCAGAAATAGCTCACACAAATTGTTTCATCAGGAATTGAGTTCAGGACGGCGTCTTAAATTGGCCGGTTCTTCCTACAGTTACACTATGAGAACGGACTCGAAAATGCTGAGTGGCTTTGCACATCGCCGTATTTCTGGACACTCGTCGCGCGGCCGGGGTCTAAGAGAATCACTAGGCTGGCATATGGCCTCGACATCTTATCGTTTAAACACGTGCTTGTTCCGATTAACAAGGAGTATGTGCTCGGGCAATCGTTTGAAGGATTCATAAGTTCAAGGTTGCAGCAATCTAATGATCTTTGAATGACTCCAAAATCATCAGCAAAAAGTTGAGGTCCTAGAACCATCCTTGCAAAACTGAGCTCCTGGAAGCCTCAACCGGGTTTCCTAGGAATGTCCCAAATGTGTCCTGGCTCCCGAAATATACTTTCGGGACAGGGTACAGTACTTCCCTAAACTGTTCCCTCCCCAATCTGTCCAAAGTAGGGCGTGTAGTGCCAGGGTAAAAGGGGAAACCATCCTGAAAACGTTCGGCTCGGCTTCCAAGCCACACTGTTCGCGCCGTGTCTTAGTCCATGCAAATTTTCTGTAGTCCAAAAGGTCGAAAGATCGATTCCGGTCGATGGCGTTTTCCTGAACGTATCAACCCCCCTGCACATTTACATGCCCTTTTCCCATGCTTTGAATTATACACTGTACTAATACTAGTGTCTACAATTTGCGCATTGCACAATTATTTGGCATAACCCGGCATATGGCTGTCCAGAATGCGAGCACTGGCTTTACGGAAACCATAGATGTCCAGACAACCAAGGTCGCAAAGATTACCTTTCCTTACCACTGCACCAGCTGTATTTCCACCATTCTAACGCCCACAATTTTGCGAATACGTGCAAGTATTTGAAATCACCCCATATGTCAGAAGAGGAACCGATTTACCAAGAACATGTCATCGTCCGTGAAAGAGGGTACGATGTGCGCGAGGGCTAGGATGCTATCCACCTCGATCACCGAATAATCATCCTCCCCTGTCGTAGGCACAAGCCGCAAGCACCCGGTCACGGGACACGGTGGCGAGACCTCATCGTAGTATTTCACAAAAGCCCGCTGCACTTTCGCACCGTCGGGCCCTGTGAACTGGAAGAGAATTAGGAGCTTGCCGTACCACTCAGCGCCGCCCCCTTGGATGCGGATGTTGCTGAACTTGCGTTCATCAGGGGCAGCCTTCACCAACTGCCCGTGGTCTCTGGTGTCCATCTGCGTGTGCGGTGGAATCGCAACGGCCGTGTGCACCTATGTGTGGACAAGTAACGCAATGGTGGGGGAAAAAAATAGGCTCAGTGATGGCACCACTGCAGTGTCACAAGGCCTCGGAGTACTGCCCTTGCACATCATCCAGCCCGGCATCTTGGCCTGTGGGTGACGACAGATGGGACAGATGCATGGAGGAGGATGAGCGTAGGGTTTAGGGTACGGGGGGGGGGGGGGTTTTGTCACCACGTGAATACGGGTTACGGGTTATGCGCTGTGAGTTACCTGAAAGAATGGCCTAGGTCAACGTTCAGTATTAACTCTCGTAATGCGGTGAGATAAGTTGGCTGGCGTGTTGGCTAGTGGGCTCATGTGGTGGGTGATGGACGTACTCCTTGCATTTCCTCCTTGTAGCGTACGATGAGTTAATGCTCACCTGCAGGGTCGACACCACGATCCCCGCCCGAACCAGCTCCCCCGAGAACCTCCGCATCACATCTTCACCCAGCGCAAGCTTGTAGGAAGTCCATGTCTTGTCTTGTGGTTCCCCGACAGTCATGGTTCTGCTCGTCTTGGTGAGCACCCGCTGATGCTGCTCTATGGCCTGCACCAATACAGAAATATGAAATGCATGGAGAAACGGAGGGTTTAGTGAACATAACATTATACCTTGGTCTCAAAGACAGCCCGGCCATGCCTCGCGCACACAAAACTGGTCCAGTCCCACCCCTCCCGCCAACCCCCCCCCCCCCCCCTCTCCTTTTCCCGGACATACATCCCATACACAAGAATAGCCCTGCCCACACACTCGAATCCAAACACACGAGTCCCCTAGAACCCTCTCCACCCCTTCCTCAACCCTTTATTCCCGTCCATACTGTGAACCCCACTCTCTCCTTTTCAAACAGGCCATCCATTCCCATATCATCCCTCCCGCTCCCCTCCCCTACCCACACATCGGCCTCCACCTACCAACTTCCATTCTCAGACACTCAATCCCATCCCTCATGTCGACCCACCTCTCCCCTCCTTAGACAAACAATCCCGTCCCTCATTACGCCCCACCCCTCGCCTTCTCAGGCATCCCAACCCAACCCACCCCTTCCCGTCTCGGACATCCCATCCCATCCCATCCCTCGCTTTAACCCTCCCCTCTTCCTCTCGCTCACTAAATCCCATCCCAACCGCTAACCCTCCCGTCCCCCTATCTGACTTCTCAGTCCAGTAACCCACGCTAACCGTCACCTCACCTCTCAACCCTAACGTTCTCGGACGTCCTCAGCACTTCTTGCCTCTTCTCTAGCGCGAACCAGCCCCGTGCCTCTCATACGACAGTAACGCCCTTACCAACACCTTCCCCTTCACTCCCTGCACTTCAATCCTAACTCTGATCCGCTTATCACTGGCGCACCATTCTGTCATACACTCATGTCATACACTCGGGACAGTCACGCACACCATCAAGCCCACGTACCATAGGGCTTCACGGGTCACCTTGTTACATGGTTATGGTCTGTATGTTGGAGGCCACCACCCGTACTCACCAGGCACATGGCGGTCTCGTATGTCTTCCCCCCGCTCTCTTCCTTGGCCATTGCGGTGATTGACGCCAGACGCTCATGGCGCACTGCGATATCCCGACACACGTCGCGCCAGTTGGTGTTCCTTGCGTGGCGTTTCACCATCGTTTTGTGAGACGCCTCACCGAAGTTGGTGGAGTACTCCTTCGGCAGTCCCCGGGTGCGGATCATATCGGGGAGATGCGCAAGGAGGTGCACCTTTATGAGGAGCCAATGTGACTTCTGGTTGGGAAACACCCGCACCAAGGTCTCGATCAACCTGAGGGTTGGCACGTTTGGTGTTTAACTTACATGCCAACATAAATGGGAGGCTAGCACGGCACAACAATCGTACTGGGGTTTAATACTACCCCGGTGCGTAAATCAGAGGTCAAGCCTTACTCCTCGGTACTCGAGATGCACTGCTTGAGCGACTCCTCTGTATGGAACTCGACCCTGAAGTATGCCCGGTACCACTCGTTGAACATCACCATCGCTGCCCCGACATCCTCACGGCCCGGCAGGTGGACGAGCAACGGCACAATCTGCATCATCGCCCGGTGCTCCCATGCAGCGTAGTTTGCAAGTGTCCGAAAGTAGGTGATGATATTGGGAAGTCGAAGGATACCCCCTGGCGTCTCACTTACAATGACCTTGCAACGCCTGCATATACGCCAAGATGGCCATCGTCTAGGCACATGAGCACCACGTAAAGAGAGCAAAACGCACAAGACCTGCCTACTTAGCTCGGACCAGACTCACGTGAGCAAGAGTCGCTTCTCCGTTGGCGTGAGCTGGCCAAGCAGGCAGCGCATCGTATGCACCCACAGACCTTCGTCCACCACGTGGAGAAGGCAGACGCCGATGGCCAGATACAGGTTGCCCCACGTGGTTTTGACATAACCCCAATCCCAAAGCGCACACTGCCATTTCGGGGATGTGTTAGCGACTTTGACGACGCGTCATGGTTCAACGTAGTACGTTTACATCCACATGTGCAATACACTCTAACTCACCGCCACAAAGTGGGTAGACCACGCCTGCTTGAGCTGGTCTCGCTCCTCCGCCGTGCTCCTGGTCATGTCCTCGTGCAGTAGCTGCTGGTCTGCAACGGTGCGTGGCGTCATCTTGGCAGCAACCTTCGTCAAATCCCATCTGCTTACGGTGCACATGGAGCACGGCTTATTGGACGAGGCCGCCATGGTGCATGTAAGCTTGCTCGATTCCGGGTGGTCACAAGCCCACGTCGCAAGCATAGGTACCACGGTGTACTGCCTGCCCGCGTGATCCACGACCTGCACCCCTCCGCTGTGAATTGAAATACATCTATTAGGGTTTAGGGGTGTTTAGCTACTAAAAACCGCATGGAGATGTACATGATCCTTTACCTCTTCAGCGTTGAAACATCCATGATCGGGCCAAGCACGATGCGCAACATCGTCTGCATCACGGCGGTCTTCTGTTCTGCTGACATGTCCGATGGCAGGCTCGGAAACAACGCGATGATCTCCGAACCCCCCACCAACCACCGAAACACCTCGGGGATGTTTATCAGGGACATTAGCAGTGGATGCGCAAACTGGCGTCCATTGAACGTCAGGTGCGTCGAGTCGCTAAAAAGCAGGATCCCTGCCACTATGGCCATCCCCTTGAGAGCATTCTGCCGCACATTACACCATCAGGCACGGTCATAACCGGCCGATGGATACCTCGGAGAGGGAGATTGGAACGAGGACAGCCATAGGAGCATACGTTATAGTTACCGTTGCAAGGTGGAACCAGTCTGTATC